TTTTATTAAAAACTGCTGAGTGTGTTTCTGTTGTGTTGTATGTAGGGCCATAACATTAATATAGTCATGTTGGTCCAACTACAAATGAACTACAACTCAGGTGTGATATCTATAGTAATCTCCATTGCATGTATATAAATATTAAATCCAACCTGTTTTGATTCCCCACGCAGGTCTGCAACCCAGAAATAATTACAGAACAAGTTATTGAAGACATATGTACCCTATTGTGATTCACAGAGACAAATTAGGTTTGGGATTGACGAGGAGTCCGAGTTCATGTTTCGTCAGTTGAAAGAATTACACATTTAGAAGTATTTGGACAGAAGGAAAACGTGTCCACGTGTTCCCACCGTGTTTCTATGACAACAAGCCTACGTTACAACTTGAGGTATATTGCACGTGTGATTTTGTTGCGTTCTTGCATCAAATACTTCATTTTTAGTTTTTAATTTTTTTAACGTATGGTTTTAAGGGTTTTGTAGGGCAACTATCAAAATAGCCATGTTTCCGCCCGGGCGATAATTGTGGTCGCACGCAGTCAAATGGTATGGCACCTTGTACCTGTTTTATCTAAACCAAAATTGGACCTAGTTTCACACGTGATATAAAGGTATGGAGAGTAGCGGCAACGTAGAAATGAGCAAATCAGATATTTAACGTTAAGAGTCTTTGTAACGTCCTTTTTATTTACCGTTTGTCAACGTAAATTTGAAGTAAGTTAATTATCCAGTTTGTTTTTATTTGTTTTCACGTATAGCTTGACCGTAATAATTCAAATGCGATGCTCTGTAACACATAATAATAATAATTCTAATTTGGAGGTCTGAAATTATATTTTAAATCCCTTATATTACAATTTTTTGGTCATAAAGCTTTTTTCCCGCCCTTTAAGTCTCCAAGACCACCTGATACTATTTAGAGAAGCAGCAGTCGTCGGTTACCTGGTGAGTTATGGCATTTATTTGTACCTTGTAATGGTTACTCTGTGTTTAGCCCATGGGATATGTGGTATTTGCTGGAGCCCTTAGTATCTGTTGTGTTTTGCCATGTGTTGCATTTTGTCCATTTTACCAAACAGACTTAAACAACCAGACTTGAACAGCTCCATAATGGACACACCCATTGTATGCTGTTCAATAGTATAACCGGAAGAGGGCAGTGTTTCTCCAAAGTTCATCAGATTCAGGTTCTTGAAATGCGCTGGGGGGGGGGGGGGGGGCGGTAAAGTAAACTCTACGCATTCATTTTTGCATTAAATGTACCCAGCTACTTGACAGAGACTGTACTTTTTTGTTATTAAGTTATTTTTCTTGAAGGATTCGTTTATAGTTTATAAACTGGGTGATATTAAATGTTTTATGTTTAAAGACACATTTTCAGTGATAAAGTAAATAATTAAATTCAGTTACACTCACACTAACCTTTCAGAAGTCTATTCATTTGGGATTTCCTACCTAAATGAACACTACTTAGTATGGCCACTTATAATTCAGTGTTTGTGTGAATGTGGTCTACTCTCACTCTGAAGAATTCTGACTGTGCCAATAATTATTTTCCTCTTCGACTCTTCATCCATGACTTATAAAAAAATGAAACCTGTTAAGGATAGAGTTTCTTTAACTTCTGGAAGGAAAGATGGGGAAAAAATTGGGAAAATGTCACAGTCATTGGGTTTAACTGCTGTTAAATCTTATTTCTTTAATTCTCCTTCCTTTCATTTTTGTCAAGTTTTGTCGGGGGGAAAAACTTAAACCAGTTTTCAGTGTAAACAGACATGGAAATATCTCCACAAACCTGTTCAGCTCTGTGCTTGAATTCATTTGTAGTCCACTACGAACGTGATGGAATTTCCAGCTATTAGCAGAAGGGGTTATTTGACATGTTTTGACCATTTATAAGTAACACCTTTCAAACATTTAACTTTTTCTTCTGCAAAAAATTTGAGACTGAGGTTGTTACAAATCTTTGATGCTTCATAATGTGGTAAAAGCTTGTCTTTAGGTCCTGTACTGAACTTTTCCTCTGGAATGTGAGGCAAATATCCAGCCAGAACCTTGGAGAATTGAGTATGTTTGTTCAAAAAGAGAGAAAATCTTCAAAAGATTATCAGACTCTGGTTTTGGATAAGGAAAACCTTACAAAAAAAGATCCTCAGGCTTTGCTGTGGATTATATAGAGAGCAACCTCAAAAGTGATGTTAGCTAAAAGACAAACAAACAAAACAAAAAAAAAAACAATTAAGTAAGAAAGCCAAAGCCTTCTTCACTTTCAGCTGCTCCTTTCATCCCAGTCCCTACATCTGTTCTATCAGCCAAGTTGATTTTTAAATTACCTTCAATCTTGTCTCCATCATTTTTCTATTTTATGCCTTTTGTCTTCCTGTTTGGCAGCTCCATCCCTACCATTCCTTCTTTGATACGTCCACTATCTGTCCTCAGCACATTATTTCCAGTCTACCTCAGCGATCCTACTGATCCCGTCCTCATTTCTAAACTAGTCCTTCCTACTGGTTATCGGTGATAATCTCAGTGATGTGACGTGCAGCAGAGCTGGTCTCTAAGGCACTACCAGTGTTTCCAAATTGTACAAATGGAAATATATTTATTAGTTAAATGACAGGCACAGACTTAGTTGTTGCTCTAATATTTATGAAGGTATTTAGACGGGCTTCAAACCTGTGCTCCGCAGTACTTGGATGTCAATATGAGACAATGTTAAAAATCACAGTATTACAGTATTATGTTTCATAGCAATTTTAAAAAACATTGTTGGAGCTGTATAGGCAGCACACTGGCACTGCTGTTGTGTGATGTATGCATGCGGTACATGTTTGTTTTGAAGCCACAAGGTTGTCGTGTTCGCGTTTATCTGGCTCCATATTTCCTGCTCTTGTCATCATCTTTTATTACTGTAATTGCCCAGCGTGGTGTCAATAAAGTATATTTGTCTATCTATCTAAAACCTGACAAACCTCCACTCAGCAAAGCTGTCCCAAAGTAGTCCTTGACGTGGATTATTTATCATCTTTACCCAATATAAAAGCTGTCATTGCCAATTTTAGACAGAAAAATCTGTTAGAAATAGATCAACATCACAGAGGTAGAAGTTTCCTGGCAGAACGGGCTACGGAGCAAAGTCCACTCATTCTAGTCTGAGTCTAAGTGCTTAAAGCAAGGAGCAGCTGTCCAACAGGCAATTAAAGCCAGGAACAAGAAGTTTGAGTGCGTCTGGAGCTGTGGGATTTTGAGGAAAACTTCGGTACCTCAGGCTCACAGGTGATTGATTGGTCATGGCTGCTGCAAAGACTAAACAGTCCGAGACGCATCCTCAGAGGCTTGAGTAAAGTAATGGCGTGTGAAGCATATTTTATCATCTCTGTAGGACTCGTTCTCTGTGGCCCTGTTGGTGATTTTTTTCTCTGCGCAATTAACATTTCTGTACCTTGAAATCTTTTCCAGGAGAAAGTTTGTTCCCTTTAAAAAGAAAGAGATTGTGTTTTTAGTGAGAGGGTGTAACCGTTGTGTTAGATCTTCTCGGTTATGTAACATCACTCTCGGCAGTCGAGGTGTAGACTCGTGGTCATGTCAGGCAGCAGTGTGATAGTAAAAAAAAAAGAATGCTGAACTGAGGTCAAATGAGTTTGTGTGGGATTGATCCAGCCCTGACAAATCCACATGGAGATCCCTTACTTTTTAAAAATAGAACGCTCTGCCAAATGTGGCTCATACGAGGATATGCACAAAGATCCCTGAGCTCTGTCTCCATAAATTGATCAACATTGGGTTTGCTCTGAGAATTCATCTTCAGACTCATCAGTTTGGAGCAGGCTTAAAGTCATGAAAGCTCTCTCTAATCCCAGTACCTTGTTGAAAAGTGTTTTCTTTCTCTACCTCCATATTTCAAAAGCAGTCTCCTCCATTTCCGTGTTATTCATCTTGGCAGTGGCGCCTCTTGGATTTTGATTCTCTAATCCCATTGGATTTAATCAAGCAAGCGGATATATTTTTCTGTCCAAACCTGGCCGGGTCCTCTCATCCTATTCTCAGAGTCAGCACAAAAGCAGTCGTCTTTGGCTGGGTGCTCCAGATATGAGGAAAAAGATGTGGAGAGAGAGTCTGGAGAAATCCTAACGACTATAGAATCGTCATGGAAACCTGTTGCCTCCGTGCAGCAGGACTTCCAGACGTCTGATCAGGCACGGGGCTGTCCCTTTGAGCAGAAAAGGTCATTTTCTTTGGGGAAATATTTTGGTACTTTGATGCTAATTGATATCGATCCTTCATGTTCGGATGGAACATGCTTTGGTTAAAAAAAAAACAAACAAAAGATTGAGAACAGCTGAATTCTTAACACACCTCTTAACAAGCTGGACAGTTTCTCTACCGGTACTGTTAGATTGTGATGTCACTATGCGCTCTGCTCACCTCATTTTTGGGGGGAGTTTTGAGAGGGATTGGGTGCCAGTAAATCTGATCTGATGATTGTGACAAGCACATGATTAATTGGGTGTTTTTTCATTGGTGCACATGCACAATATGGTAGTGTACACCATTCTGACAGGTATGGCAAACTGTCAAGACATTGGCAAACTGCACACAAACAAGCTGTGGTCCAATTGTATACGTTTGAGTCAGAATCAGAGTCAGTGTTGATGAGTTGCACGGGCCTCACTTATTGGCTCCTCCTACGAGTTGTTAAAATGGAATGGCTTTTTTAAACACATTCCTAGATTATCAACTAACCACGTTACAATAACACTGCATTTTGATAACCATGTCAAAATGGTAGCGATGACACCATGGAATGCTGTGGTGCAGGGGAGGCGGAAACTGGTTTCCGTCTGTGGAGTCAATGACTTGAGCAGAGCGGCGGTGTTTCATCTGTGAACCCGACCACTGCGATCCTGATCAAAGTTGCATGTTCATGAGGTGGAACAAGACATAAATTGTATTGGTCAGATTTGTACATGCCAACACATGGAGCTGTGTCTGTACTTTTTATTTTACCTCCAAACCTGCAGCAGTACACGGTGGAAAGCTGGCTGTGTTAGCGGCAAAAATGTTCCTCCAGGGAGGTGAGATGAAGAGGGATCTTCTCAAAAACATTTCTGCAGACAAAACAGGCCCTGTGAGAGGAGGAATAAGATCAGAAAGTCAGCGGAAGCCTGCCTTCCAGGCCGTACATCTCCCGTGGCTATACCTGGAACATCACAGGCCTTTTTCAATCACCCTCTGTCTGCACACAACAACAAGTGCGATGGAATCAATCACCCTCTGTCTGCACACAACAAGTGCGATGGAGGACTTTACAGTAGCATCTGTAGTTTAATCCTCATAAAGTCTGCCTTAACTCAGTGTGCAGGAAGTTTGTCTTGTGCCAGAAGGACTTCTGTTCAGATCAGTGTGCATTCAAATGATTCTGGTCAGGAGTATGAATTGCAGTGATGTCATTTTATGGAATCGGAGAACCAACAGAGTATGAATTGCAGTGATGTCATTTTATGGAGTCGGAGAACCAAAGATTACATTTTTTTCTACTGCTTCTGTCGTCCATGCGTATGTTGGGTGCTAAAATGGGCCACATGGTGGAAAATGTCAGTAGAACGATTCCCTTTAGTGCCAGAAGATCACTGGTCCGTCAGTTGGATCCCTGGTTGATCTTTCTGTATTGAGTTTGCAGGTTTCACTCTTAATTAACCCATAGGTGTGAATGATGGTTTTATCTCTGTGTGGTATTTTTGTGAGTTTGAGTTTTTCCCCCTTTATTTAAACATTTTAACATGCAAAAAAGGCACAGTTTTGTATAAACAGTAAATCATGTCTCCATGCACATGCTTTTATTAAATGCAAGAAATATACAGGCATCCTGCTGCTCCCAACACAGTGTGTGGAAATGATTATGCTAATCAACTACTGTATCAAGTGAAGCAGAAAACGTCTTGCTTGAAGGTACATGTGTTGACCACAGCTGGGATTGGATGTCAGGCTGACACAGTAATTCAAAAAAGAAATAATCAAAATATTGTTTTGTTTTTTTTCTCGTCCAAGATTACGCACAAGCCTCTGACCAGTAGTGAAGCATATCTGATGTCCGAAGACAACTGGGAGTCTTCGTAGAAAAACATCAACTCATTATCTGGAATGTTGAGTGCAATTTAATAGTCACAAGTGTTTTCACGTGAACTGCTGCTATTAACTGACTTCATATGTCACATACAGTGAGATCATGCTTTGGGCAGAGAGAACTTGGTTTGTCTGTGTTTTCTGCAGGAATCCATCAGAATCCATCCATCATTCTGCTCTGTTATATTTCATTGTCAGTCTAAACACATCTCCACATGGAAAAGTAGGAGCAGCAGGGAGCAGTGTGGAAAAACTGACCCAGTCACAAGAGAAGAAGTAGTTTTTTATTTTCTGTCTAAAAGAGAAGCAGGAGAAAAAACAAAAAACATTAGCCCTAAAGAAACAGTGTTTTTTTTTATTGTCCTCCTGTAATGTAGTGTAAAATAACACTTGTCCTTTTTGGGGTCCAGGGTCGACAAGGTTATAAAAAAGAACACCGTTCCAAGAAGTTTGTTTAAACTAAAACTTCTGAATGTGCTTGTCAGGGAAGACCAGAGAGGAAGACGTCTGGATGACGTGACGTGACTTGTGTGGGTGAGTTCATATCAGCTGGTTATGTAAGAGGTCAGTCTGATGCATGTGTGTGTGTGTGTGTGTGAGAGGGAGGAAGAGAGAGAGACTAGGATTTTTCCATAGCGACTGCTTTTGTTCTGAACCAGATGCAACACTGGCAGTTGAACCTGTAGTCGGGCAGAAAAATAAGCCCTTGAAGCGTTCTTCCCACTGTCTCGGCTAGTGTTCCCACTCCTGTCCCTCTCCTCAAACACAGCCTTGTGGACAGGCACGGGCTCTTGTTGTTCCCCTCACTCCTTCTCTCCTCCATATGGACCTCATATGTGACTTTGGATGAGGCTCCGTCTCTGCAGGAGTTCACAACCAATTTACTCCTTAATGTCAGGTCATTTAGGAGGCAGATGTCCTCTGGTCCCCTCCTAACTTCTTCTGTCTGCTTCCCTGTGAAGAACTGAGCATCAGTGGAATTGGTTAAAAACACCACGTGCATGACCTCATCCTCACTCTTAAATGATTTACCAAGCAGAGTTTCCTGAACTCACTGCAGAAGCAGCAGGTCTAGATTGTCAGGTGCTCCCTGTCTCTGCCTTTCTCTCGTTTTTTTTAATGTGACTAGTCATGTATTCTCATAGTCCTATGTAGTCCTAATGTAATGTGCTATATTTAACCAAAACTATTTACTTTAAAAACACTTTTTATATGGAAACAAATGACATGCTTTACTACTACTAATCTGAGAATTCCTGCATGCTCTCTGTAAAGGTAACAATCTGATGACATATGGCTGTATTCAGCCGGTAGCTGATTCCAATGCCTTTCTAGATTTAACAGCTCATTATGCTGATCACATTTAAAGCCAGGTGGGATAAATGACAGTGTAGATATAAATTCACATTCATGTCAACACCATGTAGAGATGGTATTCTGGAGGATACGTTAGCGAAACCACTGCTTCTTCACACCACCCGCAGACAAGTAGATATATGGCTGTTTATGTGGAGTTGTGTCTCCATCCTCTGATGGAGGTAAAAAACATTCCTTCATTTTCCTATCAGCCCCTGTTTTGATTCGTCCAGAGAGGCACTGCTGCATCTGTTTTTCTTGCTTCTGAATATTCCACTGTGGTCCGTCTTTCATGCAACATGTTATGGATGTGCAGTGTTGTGTACTGTTGTGGGCTGTGAAACCAGTGCAGTCATTTGGACCAGTAAGTTATTTTTACTCAACTGTTCAAAGGATCCCACCATTTAAATGTCACTATAAAGTTACACCACCGCGTTTTATATACTGTACATGCCATATTATATTGCTTCCGTGTTGGCTGCAGCCCTGCGTCAGTCAGCCAACACTTTCAGACAGCTCCTGTTGTGATGTGACTTTTCCAAAAGCAGAGCTGGAAGTCCCGGCCAATCAGCAGACAAGGAGCAGAGCCTACACTTTCACAACATCCACGTTGGAGGACATTTTTAATGCCATGATTAATAAGTCGTAAAGTCCGTTGAAATTATTGCTCCGAGTGCCGTCTTTGGAAAGTGCATTCTAGAATTTCCATGTATCACTTCCCCTCAGTAAGAGATGGCTTTGCAAGATGTTTTTTCATTGTTCATTTATTTTGTATGGTAGAAACATTTTCCAGGTTCTAATTTGGAACAATTATAATTCAGAATCTTCCATCATTTTGATTAATTATTTGAATGTGATTAAATCCAGTTTGTTTTTTTTAAAAGGTGAATTTAGTCGTTTTTTCAATCCCTTCTCATAAAGGTTCTCCGTTGTCCTGTGGGGACCCCCGCAGAAGAGGTTTTGATGTTCGTGTCAGCTCTCATTTTCAGGCTCATGGCCAGTGTTTGTCTGCACACAAGGAAGTACTTGTCTTTGTGTTTATCCCACATCTGTTAGTGTCCCTCTGTGTATAAATAAATCTTGTCCCGGAGGTGCTTTCCAATTGCAGTTAAATGATAAGTAACTGCATCTATCAAGAACCCAAGGACCAATGTTATTACGTATTACACTTGAAAAACTAGGGGCTGTAAATCCTGATCTTCTTCGAGTGTTGTTGTGCTCTCTGACCGTCTGTTTCCTCAGCCTTTGGCAAAAGGGTGTAACAGTTACAACTCCGAACATGAGAAAGGGTGGGAACGAGTATAAAAGTGTTGGCGTAAGAGGAGAGCAAGCTGGGAAGAACTGAGAAGGCAAGAGAACGCACTTCATGTAACAATGCTGTACTTTTCATTCAGCTTACGTGGTGCATTAGAGGAACTGTTGTTCGAACGTTCAAGGACGCTGTTAAATGACACTGTACACAGGGGCGTCATGACTGTTTTCAAGAGTGGGGCTAGGGCATCAGTTATGTAAAAACAGCAATAAGTAATAATCACAGTGAAGTTTTTCTCCTGTTACACTCAAGACTATAAAGACTATGAATAATTCACACACACCGGCGCTGTGTTTTCAGTATGTTCAATGGTGAATAAAGCCAAGTTTTTATTTTGAACATATAAGTTATTTTAGCCTGACATACATATATATATATATATATATATATATACACTTAATGTGTGTGTGTAACTTGCTAACGTTCACTTGTTTCTGCCAATTTCAGCACAAGCTTTTCCGACTCTGAAGGACGGCAGCAGCTGAAGTGCAGTTTTCGAGCACATAAGTAAATATGGGTAAGACTTCCAACAGCTTAATGCACTTATTCCACCTCGAATTAACACGTGGCCAAGAGAAATAAGTCGGCTTGACATGTTTAGACACAGGCATATTAACCCCAAACAGTTTCCATTCTTTGCTTACAGGCATCGACAGGTCTGCTTTGTACTGGGCATCTGCTCAACTGTACTTTGTTTATGGAGTTTACACATAGACTGTAAATAAGACACGGACAGGAACATCTGTAGCTCCCTCTGGATCCTGGGGGAGGAACCTGGGAGTACTTCAACTTACCTTCTGGTTTTAGAGGTAAATTTAATTTACTTTTATTTATTTTATAGATTTTTAAAATGTTTATTTTGGCATTAGAGTTCCATAACTGCTGTGTAGCTGTTTGTTAAAATTAGGCTAATTAAAAAGTGCCCATATTGTTTTAAGAACTGGATTTTTACCAGATATCACTAATATTCTGTTGAGAATTCTGTGACTTCATTCCAACTGTTGAGGCAGATGACATGCAATGAGAATTAGAATTAGTCCAACATCAACAAAATTCACTTTAAGGTTTTAAGTTTTTGCAAAAGTCCAGTTTTATTCAGGCTAAAAAAAAACACAACTAAACCTCCGTAATGTTATATAAACTCACTAAGTGACTTCATGCTGCTTTGCTGGTTATGCAGTTTGAGGTGTCGGCCCGTCCAATTACCAAATGTGATAAAGTTTTACAATCTATTTTACAGCCAGTTATAGTCTTTGCTCAGACATGAGTCAACTGCATCAAAAAGGCCAACTTCCACATCAAGGTTTAATGGGATCAGTGTTGGGACAGGAGGTTTGGGTATCATACAGTTTGGCTCCCAAAAGTTAGGCTTGGCTTAGTTTGATGAAATTGAACTTGTGTTATTATTAAGTTATTATCTGGCGATGAAGTACAGAGCAGACAGGAGAGAGGCGTTAAAACCCCTCTGAGCCATTGTTAGCTGTTAGGCTAACCTGCTGAAACTGTGTTTGTGACTGATCTTCATCAATCCAGTCTTAGTTTGGGTTCATTGTGTCATTTCCTTGCCTGGAGGAGACAAAAGAAAAACTAACTAATCGTTTACTTACTTCAGTTTCCTGCCAGTAGTTAAAGGGAAGTATCAACAACTCTTGTCATGAGTCCATTTCATAGAGTGCCAGAACAATTAATGTTGACTTTAAGGGCACATCGAAAATGACAAATTGAACTCAGCTGTAACTGATTTCACTGGGACGTTTGTGTTTGCTTCAGTGCCACCTTGTGCACGCGATCATTACTGAATATTTTGGAACAAAAAAAAAAAAGTCATATTAGCACAGTGTAAATATTTAACTAGCCTCAGTGACGCGGGTGCAGTTTAGTCTTTAACCCTACATTTGGGGCCACCGTGTTGGAGAGTTAAAACACGTCTTCCAGAACAATAAACTTGTCAAAGGTAGACACTTGTGCCAACTTTGTGTTTTGATTATCAGGAAAAGCTGCTGCCGGCCCCCGGCCTACACTGGCACAGACTTTTCCAATGACGTATTGTGTATCTGCTGCAGAGGTCGAGGATAATAATGAAGTAATAGAAAATTTGAGCAACTTGGCGTTTGACGAGAGCAGTGGAGGTGATTTAATGAGCTTAAATCCAAAAACGATTCACTGTGCCCAAGCTATGGAGAGCAGTGTCAGATGAGTTCACTGTATGGAAACGTGTGTATTGTCACAACAAAACAAACCCACCAGCCTTGGGAACAGTCATGGAACTATTGACTCTTATCAACAGTTCCTTAATGCCTGCTATCGTTGTAAGAACAAAAATTCCCCTTTTTAATCATGGCAGAAGCATTTTATATTAATATTGGGCAGAAACTAAAAAAAAATAGTCAACTCAAAATCAAGAAAGAAATAAGAAAATTATTTCATTACAGTTTCACTGAAACTGAGCTTCGTTTTATTAATTTCGCTGGCACTAAACGTTAGCTCCACTGTTGTGTTTCACGCCGACAGTTATTGAAGAGTTGGAGCCTAGTCTTTCCTGAACTCATTTTCCTTTTCTTTCCACTCACTTTCCTCTGAATAATTTGTCATCATCGGCCCTGAAAAGATGAACTGGTTAGCCTCTCAATTAACCTCTCAGCAGTGATTTATTTACGTGAGCTCGTCTCTCGTCGTCGTCATCATCATCAGGATCAGAGAAGAAGGAACAAACCCCGTGGCTAAACTGCATCATTCTCCTGTAGCAGTGTCTGTTCATCACGGAGGTCAAGCAGAGGAACCACAGCAGATGAAGTACATGTGTCCGGGCCGTCTGCAGCTTCAGAGCCTTATTAATCAATCCCAGAGTGAGAAGTGGCCACATGGGGACTGTAAAGGCCCCACAACGTAATCTTATCAAACCTAGAGTGTAGGGTTTGATGACAATCGGGTTTAGTCAGCAAACAAACCAAAGCCGTGGGAGCAGTTAACCTAATCCTTTCTCTGTGGTTTATGAGCCAGTAAAACAAATAAGATCCACAAACCATTGGATTAAGGATTTGATTTATTGAAATGGAAGACAAAACTGAATTTCCTCGAAGGTGTGCAGGGGATTAATGAATGAATTGGCAAATGTGTATGTAATTGTTTCTGAACTACGCGTCGGTGCAAATAATCACTCATGAGGAGAAATTCAAGTCTTACCAGACCTCACATGCAGCAATCTACATCCACGCTTCAGCGAAAGAAAAATACGTCTCCCGGCGCAACATAACCACGTCTGACGTCCGGTGTTGTTCCAGGTTTAATTCCATCGCCCAGAGTAATTTTGGACGCACACATCGTTAAATGGGTTTGCTGCTGACAGAGCTGGGATACGGGGCAACGCTTTCTAACCAAGCTGACCTGATTACCTGGAAAGCAGTTTGCCCCAAAAACATGACCTCAATTCACAGTTTCACTCTTGCTCAGACTTGGCACAGTCTTGTCTACGAGATTTTGTGAAAGAGAAGAAGTTGACGGTACTACACAGCGCCCCTGCCTGCCCCGCACCCCCTCACCCTCTATCACGCCCTCCTACACCATCATGTCTTCTTCAGAAATGGAGAAAACAGCAGCTGTACAGTTGATGGATTCTGAAGAGGGTGACCACTATCGATTTCTCCACCGTGACCTCTTGGTTTTCACTGCAGGTTTTTTGTTGTTGTTGTTGTTGCGCGTGACGTGTCCGTGTGCCAGAGTGATAGTGATATAACTACAGAGCTCAGCAGCGGCCCGCGCTCATGACCGACTTTAACAGTGAGCTCAGACTGTACTTGACAATTGGAGTCTACTTTCATCCATCAACAGATCAGAGAGCAGAGAGCAGAAAAACAACTAGAGCTCATTATTTTCAGCCTTCCCCTTGTGTCATCTTGGAGTTGAGTAAATATTATGTCTCTGAGCACTTGAGAACTCCCAGATATTCTTCTTTATGGCTGTTTTTGTTTCCATCAACATCCTTTTTTTAGTGGGACAGGCTGTTTTCTCTGCACTCCTGTTTTTGATCATCCTGGTCTTGTTGTTCATGCTCCAGCGGCCAACTTTCCTTAACATACCTCCTCTCCACAGTAGACAAACTTACAGAACTCATTTATAAACGAAGAGCTTGGACCTCATCCTCTCGCCCTTGCAGGTGGCGGTGCTAAAAGCAGTTGTTCTTGAAGTGGGACGCAAACCGGGCCTTAGAAAATCGGTGCTAAAAGCAGTTGTTCTTGAAGTAGGACGGAAACCGGGCCTTAGAAAATTTGATGAAAGATAAGAAAATACAGAAGAAGATAAATATTTAATTATTTTTCATAACCATTTGCCCTGAACTGTACAACATGTAAACTGCCAGATTCCCAAGTTTCTAATGGTACCTGAACGCACCTCGTGTGAAAGCTGAAACACCTGTAATAATTATTGAATAGTGAATAAAAATGAGAAAATCAATTCTATTAGTTGATGTCTGTGGGTTTTCAAAGGGGAGTGGGGGGGGGCTTGGCGTGGAAAAGTTTGGGAACCCCCGGCTACAATCCCAGTTTGAATGCAATATTGATATTTTAAATGAATTTCTTACCCTCTAACTCCATTAAAACTCCTCCTCCTGCTCATAAACTCTTTCCAAGGACAATGAAGTTTTTCCACGTTATTAAGAAACAATAAACAACACTGAGCTGAGAACGTTTGAATACATGTCAGACTGGATTTGTGTTTTTACTCCCAAGTAATTAGGGAAAATATTAAAGTAAATATTCACATGCCAAACTCGAGACACGTTAAAGTTTAAAAATTAATCAGACGTGTGATGGATGACCAATTTTTTGTCCAATCTTTTAGAACTGGACCGTCTCCATTTGGCCCCGGTGCAGCAGACGAGAGAGCTCAGGGAAAGGAGTGAAGAGTACCGTCCAGTCCAGTCTCTCCAAACAAATACAAGACATTTACAAATGTGCACGAGCTAAATCAGACCTGAGGACACTGTGCAAATGAAATGGATTATTTTTTAATAATCAGTGTTTTTCTGTGCACCGAGGTGTAATTGATGACAAACCCTCAGAGAATTGTCTCCCAGCTCCGTCCACAGCTCTGCAGAATGATTTAATGTTCAAAGTATTTCCTCCATGAAGATGGAAAGGCCAGAGTCAACACTTCAAAGAAACGTTGAGGTGTGTGTGTGTGTGTGTGGATGTGTTAATGTGGAGTCATTTGCCTAAACTTTGGACACATTAGGTTTATCTAACTATAAAAAGAATAATAAACTAACTTTATTATGATGATAAAAGGTGTAATTTGCAAGTTAACAACTTGTTCCAAAGCTACGTGGTGGTAAGAATCTGCTACTGCATCTATAGGAATATAAAATGAACATAAGAAAGTTCTCACTCAAAAATAACAAAACACTGATGTATATTTCGACGCAGAAACAAACAAAACAATCTTTGTACAAATAAATAAAAATCTTGTCCCGTTTAAAAAAGTAACCAATTCTCGCACTTTTCCTCTCTTGCTTTTCTCTTTTCATGCTTCAGCTGATTCACGCGATGATTTCAGCCCAGCAGAATGAAGTCTAACTTTTTCCAGCATGTGACCCATTTCTATTTGAGAGAAGAAGAAAAGAAAAAAAATCAGCATGTGGAAAACTACAAGACTGCATTCCTTCACCACCGCAGATGGGGACTAGCTCTGAGGTTGTAACATTATTTTTTAATTATTGTTGAAATTGTTAATGTTATTTTATGGCGAAATGTATAGAAATTACATCTTTTTTTATTTTAAACTGACATAACAAAGCCAGGAGCGCCTCACTGGCACTGAGCAGCTGGTCTGAAAAGTAACAGAGTTTTGAACGGAGGATCCACATGTGGAGAGTAGACGGCCCTGGTTTCAATCAAGGGAGAGTGGCCTTCTGCCCTGATTTAATATAAAGGATCTGCAGTTGACTTTGAGCACAGACTGGGCCGAAAACTGCTGAGGATGTGACATGCTGTGGAAAAAAGCTGACAGTGTGATACGATGTGACAGTTCAGTGCTGTGTCATGTCAAGGATGAATGTCACGTTATTAGTTTTGGCAGGAAATGAGATAAACTCTAACATCTTAAAAGAAAATTGAAAGATTCTGTCTGCGATGGTGTGTGTGTGTGTGTGTGATGAGTTGATACTGATTTATCTCTGACTTTCTCAATTGTTGGCTCCTCTCCTTGATCAAAGCAGATGCAACACATCACAACTTAATACCACACGGTGAAAAGTAGTATTTGTGAATGACAAAGTGAACTTTTTAGTAATAGGAGAAAATGATAACTGGACCAGAGAGTCCGTCTCCTTCCAGGGCGAGACGCCCAGAAGACGTCAAACTCCTCCCAGAAGGGGACTGAAGTTTGTGTGTTCTCACAGAATAAGCTTTATACAGGCTTGTAAAGACTTTTTATTAGTGTTTGGTCAAAGGTGAACCATTGGTGTGTGTGTGTGGGGCCACATGGTGAGTGTGTGTGTGTGTGTGTGTGGCCACATGGTGGATGAGGGGTCAGTGATTGTGCCTTACAGCAAGAACGTCAGCAAGTGTGAGAACAGAGCTTTAGTCCAGGGGTTCTTCACCTTTTTCACCTTGAGGTCTGTGTTTGTAAGGACACATCTGGTTGGAAGTATACAGAGAACTATCCATTAAACTTCCTCCTTGAGACCATGAATCTCATGAAACACTTCTTGGACAAGGGAGCGCTCTGTCTATTGTCAAGTTCCGTCCTATTCTGAATAGAAGAAGTCCTACAAGAACATTTTCATGGAGGACTGTGTTTCTCTGAGCTGCTGCTCAGGATGTGCATGTGTGGTTGATTCGGTTTCTTTCATGCTTGTACGGATTTCAAGTCAAACATTTGTGTTTCTTTTTTTCTGCTTCCCAAAAGGAATTGGATCTGTTTATAGCCTGATGCTCTGATCAAGTGTTGGCTTCTCAGGAAACCTCTGTGGTTTCTCAAAACGCTCCTTGTGGTGTTGGTTTGCAGGAGCGTTTACCAGCATCTTCAGAGAATTCAGATATTTGATTTTAATATTCTATTCTTTGTTGCATTGATGTTTTCAAAAGGGGAACTCAATATAGATGTGGTTGGCCTACCAGCTTCTGAAAGTCAAAACATGACATCCCAGCCGCCCCCTGTTGGCAGGCTGCAGTAACAGCCATCAGCCGAAGCCCCTTTATTTTGGCAGGTACTCCAAAGTGGAGGATCACACGATATGAAATGGATTCTGACATTTCAGTTTCGCTCACATTACATGGATTTATGTCCAGCTTTTCATTTCGTTTTAAGTAGCTATTTGATGTGATACAATAGGGAGCGACAGATTGACAACTCGGATTAATACGCAGATTATTTCACCATCTGTGGCAGATGTGTTTGCTTTCTTTTCCACTCCTTCCTCTTGCCACCAGCCTCTCCTTATTGGGGTCATTGCTGGACCCCTGTTGCAATGCATCCATTGGGTTATTTTCCCCATCCAAAACAACCAACCATGTTTTGGTGACTTGAGCATGCATCAAAAACTCGGCCCACATTTGTGAATTTGTCTCGGCCCTCGCTCCCTACGGTCAGCCCACGGTGACAGTTTGTCAGAGACACATCAAACTTGGAGGACATGTGAAACATGGCTCTCACTGTGCTCCAAGCACATGGGTGACAGAGTGACATATTTGGACCAGACTGCTAATGAAGACGCTAATGGAGAACCTAGGCTAGCTAACTGACTCTTAGCATAGTCAGGAAAAGTAGAAGTACAGACCAAAGACTAGCATATTTGGAGATCCAAGCAACATTTAATCCATTAATCCATGCTGTAAATTGTGATTCTAGATCAACTGGTGTTGAAAGTTAGCTAACTACAGAACCGCACACATCACAGAATCTGCTGACGCAGCATTGTTTCAGAGCAGTGGAACAGAACCGCACACATCACAGAATCTGCCGACACAGCATTGTTTCAGAGCTACAGTGGAAACCCTGGAGCAAAAGACACCACGTGATGCCAGAAGAATTAAGCGTAGATCAAAATGTATCAATCACCACAACCAAAACTGTATTTCGGAAACACGGGAAACCCAACAGTAAGACAAGTATTCTCAATTTGTGTCTATCAAATTTTGGTCTGTACTTTTACATCTCATACTAGAGGATTTATCGTGACACCTTCACATCCGTTATGTTGTTAAAACGAATGTTTGGTAATGGCCTTCCAGACTCTTTGCAAGTATTTTGTTGATTCTCAAATGGCAAGTCATTCCAGTTTGAAGAGGTTATGTAAAAGCTATGAATGCACATCTTTTATTCAACATCGTTTCTCATTTTTCTTACTTTTGCCTCAGCTTTGAAACCTTTCACAACAAGGCATCTCATTTTGCTTGCTAAAAAACAAAGCAATTACAGTAGAGTTGTATGAAGTTCAGAGCCACGTCTTGGCATAGTTAAGTTCTGTGTTTGACTGATAACGCTCCCTAACTTGGATGCACCTGCCCTTTGCTTTTCAGTACTACCGTGTAAGTTAGTTTTAAGTTTTCAACCTTCTCTTTGTTTGTTTTCTCTGACTTTGTTACTCTGGTACTTTACAGTTTGTCCTTGAGCAAAGATCTTCGTGTTTATGCCAAATTTGAATTCGTCCATCTTTGGTATTCAAGCATAACTGAATTTTTCCACCGCGTCTGGAGAGTTGAACTATCATTATTCAGTCAAATGGCACGTTGCTCAGTTTGCGGCCAACAAAAATGTTTTGGGGCAAAGAGAGGCTCATCGTTCACAGACAAAACGCTCAGGAACTGTTTTTATCCACACGCAGCACCTGTGGCTGTATGTCTCTGTCTGACAGTCGTCCACCACAGTGTTGACAAATTGGACGGACGCAGAACTGCCCTGTGAGCACTTCCTCTATATTTCAAATCTGAGAGCTTATCGCAGCCAATCAGGGAAAACTGTCTGTGCTGCTCAGACAAGGAAGTGGAAACGAGATTGAAAGATACCAGCAGAGTTTGAGGTCATGTCAGGGGAACAGACTGGAACAAGGTCATGTTTTTGTCTGCTAAAATATAGAGTACACACGGTACTTTAACCTAGTCAAAGATGGACGGCAACATTTGTGGGCCAGGAGTCTCAGATTTGTCCCTGCCCAGCAAGAAAAACAGTGTTGATGTTGAATAAATAAATAAATGCTTTTCTACTTACTATCATAAATTAGATTAAAACAAAAAAGCACAGGAAAAGGCCTTAGTTTTGGCTCGGCTGCGTGTCTTGAGGAGAAGACAAAGGCGATTAATCTTCAGTTTGCATAAATGGTGTAATGATTAATGAAGAACAAACATGAAATAATCCTCTCCATTCATTCCGTTCTGTCTGTGAAATACTTAAAGCCTGGTTTACTGTTGTACTGAGCCACTCTGGATCGGACTTCATCCTGTTTCACCACTGTCATTTCACACCAACTGACTATAATTCATGTTTTAAAACCAGAAAAATCTGTGCTCAGCCTTTGACTTTGAGCATTGAAAAGAAATTCTATTCAATGTGAGGGTTTTTTTTTTGCCCCTGCAGGCAGCAACAGTAACTTAATTCTCCAACAGCCACCACGTAATTGGATATATTTAGTTTCAAATGATCAGGTTGTGCATGTTTTACAGATTTCTGCAGTGAAACTTAAATACTAGAAGTAAAACGGCAGGAGTTAGTAAAAAAAAATGACGTTGTTGTTGGCATCCGTTCTGAAAATATAACTGGTTTAGTTCCCAAAGTGAGGGGCAACTCTCCTCAGAGGAACAGTGGTTTTCAAAATGTTTCTGCAGCGCCCCCTGTTAAATCTTATGGCTACTGTTAACACCCTTCATCACCACATTCAAATTACCATTAAACTTTATTCATAAAAACACCAGTATTCCTTACTAATCAATGCAGTTTCTCCACTGTAGCACAGGTAAAAAAAAAAAACCTGCACTCCTCCTATACAATAGCTCCGTGCCCCCAAGGTGGGCCAGTCCCTTCACTTTGAGAACCACTGTTATATAAAATCTTGACCTGCTTAAGCCACAGACTGAGACTGAACCTCTTGTAGATGCTGTTTTTACACCAATCCTAATATTTACATCTGTTACTTTGGTGTTGATTTTTACATTAAATTATATTTATTTAACAAATAGAATAAAGTTCCAATCCTAATATTTACATCTGTTACTTTCGTGTTGATTTTTACATTAAATTATATTCATTTAACAAATCTGTCTGTCTGTAAAACACCACAATATTTTTCTTCTTTTGCCTGTTAAAACAATCTTCCATATCAATAACTGCATGACATATTATAGATATATTAGGGTGTATTTAGTCGACAACCTACCTGGAAATGTTACTTCTAAATATAACCGGAGTCTGTGCTGTTTATTTTGAAGCTTTTAATTTAAAATCACACCCCACTGCCGATTCAACAAATAGTAAAAAACACGTATTTTCTTCTGTCACGTACATTTTGATTATAAACCACACTGGTTTATAAGTGCTACATGGGACTGTAGTTCAAATGTGTTTCAAATTAATCTTGCAGACAAACCTGTGAGTCTAACTTTCCAGCTCAGGAAGGTTCGACAGACGAATCCTCGCCGGGCAAAGAACTGGTATTTCCTTCATTCATTTTCTTTCCCCGTGCTTTTTCCAAAATACTTTCCATATATATATAAATATATATATATATGGAAAGTATATATATATATATATAAATATATATATATATATATATAGTTTTATTTCATCAGGTTTTAACAGTTGCTTTTCCTTCTAAGCTCACTTCACCCAATGGTCTGATTAAAGTGTGTCCTGCCAGAAAAGGAATGTGGCAAAAAGGAAAATATGATAATGATTCATGTTTGTTGATGGTTGTGGTTTCTCCAGAACTTTATTCTGTCTCCCATCATTCCTGAGCAAAAAGTTGGTCCTTTATTCTTTGTCTGTATACAAACGGAAATTACACAGTAACTTTGAGTGAATTCTGCTTTCAGGACATATGGAAAAAAAACAAACTATCGTTTGATTCTCAGGCATGAAGAGACAAAACGTAGCCATCGGAAGCTGTTACAGCGAGAGGTGAGTGAAACAGAACTTTACAGGCCTCGGAGTTTTCTCTGTGCTTGTTCCAATGTCACTGGTTTGACCACGTGTGTATTAATTGGTGAGATAAATAACACTGGACAACGACCAGTCTCTGGCGTCGTCGTCAATAACACGAGGAGCGCTTTCGGACGAGAGTTAAACTAAGCGAGAGCACACATGCTTCTTATTCCATCATATATACAGACTGCTTAATATAAAAAAGTGCATCGTAATGATATACATTGAGTTATTTATTTATTTAACAAGTACTATATTCTCTTTTGGTGAAGCTGTAATTAATTTGTAGTGGTGTCTTTTTCTCGAGATGAGCAAAAAGTCTTTGAGGGAAGGACCAGTGAGGGGGTGAGTCTGCGGCAGGATGCAGAGCAGTCGCCTTGGAAACTGACATCTTTGTTTGTTTGTTTTTTTTTCCTTCTCTTCTTCTTCTTCTTCCCTTATGTTACCACTTCCCAGGGATAGGCACCCCACATTCATACCATCCCACGAACGGATGGGATGTACGTCTGCCAATGACTCCGAACGTGACTGGCTGCTGTCGGTATGCACGATAGTACCCTGCACCAGAAGAACAGAAATGGGTTTAATCCAGGTAAGGCAGTTGTGACACTTTGTGGCGTACATGTAATATTGTTTTAGTTTTAATCAGATTTGGCAGAAAATAATTCTGTGAATGTAAATGAAAAATAAAACACCAAGGCCATGTCAGGGTTTAAAGGTGTTAATATTTACCAGCTGACTTGTAAAAAGTGCTTTTGAACATGATATTCTTTAAACTCACTTCCAAGAATCTGTACATAGTCAAACAATGTCGGCCTATAAACCATTTGTTTCAACAGAAAATACTTAATATTCTCAGATTCTTCTAATATGACGCCTTATTAGAAACATGAAACATTTTGATTAAACACAGAAGCCACTGGTAGAGCCTTCAGCGAGCTTTCTGTCAAATATCATTCAGCATGTGAATTCTTTGTGGATAAGATCGATGCTGCTGCTTCACATCTGTGCCAGAGGGAGAGTTGGGAAAAGTCCTAACGGTTTGGGGCGGAATATCGCAGCCTCAAATGTCACATCTGGGACTGTTTACCTTGTGCTGAGGGCAGATAATTGGAGAGGAATTCCGGGCCTGTCCGTCCGTCCCTGTAGGAGTCGACAAACTGGCAGTGGTCCTCTCCCTGTCCAAACGTGTCTCCTATGCTGTAGAAAGGCTCTGCAGACACAGTGTTTCCTGTCATTTAAGGTCACTGCCAAAGAGAGTCGTGATGTGTTCGTGTGACACGTTACCTCTCAGGCCATCTCCCATGAATATCTTGTACCGGAGCGAGTTGCAGAGGACCACGCCCACGAACTTCCTATACCACGTCCTCTTGACGTACTGGCTGCCCTTACAGCTGCTGTGGGTGGGGTTGTATTTGAAGGTGAAAGGGATCCAGATCGGTTCCCCACCTGAGACAACCGGAGAGGAAGGGCTCCATCAACAAATTGAAAAATCATCTTTCCTCGTAACGAGGGGAACATGAGTGTTTAACGCGGTTATCACTCTTTTACCCAGATCACATTTTATATCCAGTAATTCTAGACGCCGTATGAAGATTTGTGCTGCTATAAGTTTATAAATCACAAACAGTTCCGGGGCCAAAACAATAAATTCAGACATGTTGATAATGACTGATCCAGACATTTAAGTTCATCTGGGACTGCTCTGCTCACTGCTCCTGGAGTCAAAACAAATCAAACACAGACTTCATGTCACAAATATATGGATACAAAATTCCAAGAAACCATGTCCGTTTCCTTGTATTTGGCTTTTTGCCAAATTCTGATTTTATATGCAAATAAGCTATAACATAAACAATGTTAGAAAATCACTTGAATGCTACTGAGTTGTAGCTCTGTAGGCTTCTTAAAGATGGACGTTAGTCTAAACGTTAGCTCACAGAAATGCTAAAGGTGAATGAGCTTTCCCTTCTCGTTGCCAAATCTTGAAACAACTAACGTTAGCTCACAGAAATGCTAAAGGTCAATGAGCTTTCCTTTCTCGTTGCTAAATTTTGAATCAACTTGGCCAGCAGTGTTGGAGTTGCATTGCTGCTACCCTGTGTGTCAACTTTCAAAATGATAAATATTTACAACCCCAAATGTCCCAAACACTTCCAACGACAAGAAAAACCAAAGGCCAAAGGCATTTCCCTGGCAGACAGCACATTACCAATTACTTCTAATAGACAGTTTAAATAAATGAACGGTTCACGTCTGTATCACACTATGGGGTATTTCTTTACGCATTTACAGCACAATGTAGCTTTAGACAGAAAATGCTAAAAGAAAAAAGAAAAAATTCTCAGCTTAAAAGAGTTCATATTTCTAACTGTTTTTCAACAGTTTGTTTCCTAATGTGACCTGCAGGGACTTTATAGGCTGTAAACTGCCCTTTTCCATATTAGACATTGGACTACCTGAAATATTTTTATGACATTTGGTAACTCTTGGCAATTACGCAACGTCTTACTTCTGCCATTTCTAATTCAGAGGCCAAACTATACACTGGAGGAGACATTAGAAATAAGCTACTGTTGGCAGGTAGGTTTCGTTGGCCGACTCTTCAGAATTCTTTCTCTCTGATTGAACGTGATGTCTGAATGCACGGAGAGAGGCGTTAGCGAGGACAAATTCTAACAGAGGCAGACAGTTGGTTTAAGAAAGTGATGACTCTCTGTGTAGCAGAGACGGAGCAGCTGCAGTGGACTCACCAGGTGGCCTTTCGATGAGAAGAGGATCGTCTGTGGAAGAAAGAATGTGATTATTTCACCAGTGTCCAAACACACAAAGACAAGATTAATGTATTCCCCTGATTATGGGAGTGGGAACAAAAAATCTTTTCATCGATAAAACCATGATATCTCCATCTGGTGGCTTGCGAAGATTGCACTTTCTTTCATGGACATTTTGCATCGGAATGTGCACTTTCTTTCTGAATATTCCGCAAAGTGATGCAAAATCCAAACTTCCCGTCTGACAGCGTGTTTGAACTGCAAAAAAAGTGTGTTGTCAGTGTACACACCTGATTCAGTGACATACGTGAGTGTATCGCTGACTGGTCCCAGTCCAAACACATTCTTGGCCTGCACTTTAAAGTAGTACCTGAATGGAGACAAAGGAAGTACTTAATGAAAGACTCCGTCATTGAATGTCACTCCGCAGAAAAGTAGTACCTGAATGGAGACAAAGGATGTACTTAATGAAAGACTCCGTCATTGACACGTCATTGAATGTCACTCTGCAGGAAATATCTGTGACCAGATGAAGGTGAAGAGAATGTTAATGACTGTAGCAGATGTCAGGGGAAGCTCGGCTCAGGTTGATTTACAAAAAGAACGTCTTATACCTGCACCATCGCAAAGATATGCACAGCACAATAAAAGAGCTATTTGGCCCGGGTTTAAAGGGAGAGTTGAGTCAGGAGACGTTTGGATATTAACAGATAGACAGAGATAGGGATGAAAGACGGAAGAATCGAGGGATACAAAAAGAAAAATAGAGGAGATATTTGCTGACGAGGCGAACAAAAAGAAAGCTGGAAATATCTGGGAACAGAAAAGAGTAACAAAGTCATGTGACTGTGTCTGCTTGTGGTGGATCTATTATAAAACCCAATTAGATCACAACCAAAACCATTAGTGAGAACTTTGCAAACTTTTCCTTTAGTTATCAAAATAATCCAAGTGAGAAAGTGTATCTCTGTTTAATAAAAACGTTTGTGTTTTTTTTTTTTTTTGCTTTATTCCACAGGGTAACGTGCAGTGAGTTCATGGTCTGTCAACGTCCAGCCAAACAATTTCACCACACACAGACCCCAGGCCTGGATTCAATCACCTGCAGCCACGTGACAAGAGTGACCAGAATATTATATCACCACAGAGAGTAAGTAAGTCAGTCAGTGAGTGGTTGGAAAGTGTGTGAGGGTGGGAAGGGGGTACACCAGCTGCATGGAGATGATGTAATGAAAGATGAAAAAGGAGAAAGTTAAAAAAAGAAGCCAAACTTTGATCCAGAATTTAAAAAAAAAGAAAAGAAAACAATGATTAGACTACAAAAAGCAGCAGCAAGCCAAACTTGGCTTTTCAAATCCCTGCTTGATTTAGTGCAGAAGTTCTCAAAGGATCAAGTCTAGGGACAGACACTTTATCTAATTCTTCTGGGCAGGACCCAGTTTTTAAGAAGCTCTCAAAAAATTCTACAACAATATACATTAGACTTAGAGCTGGACAGTATGGCCCGAAATAGTAAAAATAAATACATCACAATACAGAGTCAATGATATGACATATTGTGATATACTGCAATACTATACTAGGCATGACAATGTTATGCGTTTTCTTGACAACGATGATCCCAGTTAAATATGATTAATCTTGATTAATCCACAGCTACCCTGTGATGAATCTGTTTAAATGTTTTAATCAAAGAACAACAAATCTTGGACATTTGTTTCTCAAGTGCCTGATAGTAGCTCAGTATTTTTGGCGGTCATATGGGCTCCCACTGTCTGGGAAATGTCAACACTGTCCCATAAACCATCCCAAAATCAAGTGTAACCACAGGAGACACACTATCATGAAAACAAGCTGGTTGTCAGGGAGGGAAACCCTCGCCGCAGCCTCCAGGAATGCTTTACTCTGACACAAAGCTTTACCGTATCAGGCGCTCAACAACAGGTATCTGCTGATATACAGTACACTTGGCACAACAGGAGTTAAGAGTTCAGCCACCTAAATACTTCAGTAACTAATTAAGTGACTATAAAACCTCTTGGCATTTGCACCTGGACGTCATTGAAAGAGTAGACCAACAGGTGAGGGTTTAAGACTTTCCAGAAGTTTTGTAGAAGATCACCTCTCACTCATGACTGGCATTAGAGAAGACCTTCTCTTGGTCTTATTTGACCCTCAACGGACTTTGAACTGGGATGATGCTACCGCAGCATACCACTAGAGGGGGCACAAGTACCACAGGCAGTACCCATACCATAGTTTTTGAACCAATTTTCTGACTTTTATTTACACCAGATGGGAACTGTCATCTTCTGTCATCTTTACAGCATCTCTATCTTCAAATGGGATTTATAAAAGCGACATGATTTATGAAAATAAGTCACAAAACAGCAGCGTCTCCAGTTCTAGTTCTGCAGCTTCGCTCAGGGCTTGAGGTTCCTGTTTGAAGTCTATGGTTTCAAATGAGTCAAGAAAAGATGGAGAACCTTTAGAACAGGGCTACTCAATTAGAAATCCAGCTGGGCCAGACTTTTCAGAAACTAATAGACAGGATGTGACTGCAATACTTGCATTGTGGGTTGTATGCTGCAAAGCTATGGATAGTGTTCCATTCATTGTCAGTTCTAGTGTAAGGAATTGAATCACTCATCAAATAAACCGATGATTTTATGCCTGCGGAGACAGACAGTCCCAAATAAACCGATGATTTTATGCCTGCGGGACAGGAGACAGACAGTCCTTTTAAGACCTGTGTCCTGTGTGAAGTGATGGAGTTTTTTATAAGACATTGCTTCGGAAAAAAACAGCCTGAAATGATTGGTTTTGTTTTGAAGTCTCAGATAATGTGTATGCAATTATGTTGTGCTGAATTTTCCGTGTCTCAACACAGTTTTTCAACATGTCACATTTTGGTGCAGATTGCATTCTTCCCCCTAACCTGTCTCCATTTAACCAAATGTGATTTACGTCACTCCGAGGATTTTTCTGGTTCCCACATATAAACAATTATGGTGTCACTGCTCAGACTCTGATTAGTGTCAGCCTGGTTTGATATCCTCAATGCCAACACATCCCCGGATAAACACCAACAGACACATACTGTACATACATCAAGTCACACAACCACGTTCAGAGACTGTGTATATTCTGTACATTCACGTGATGACAAGAAGATTATATAAACCCCCCCAGCAGATGTCAACAGAACAAAACCACAGTCAAGCAGCAGCACCGAGGGCTGGATGAAGAGTCATGTGACCAATTACATCTTTCTCTGGCAGTGTTGTGTGTGTAAAAATTCACGCTGGATGAAGAGTCATGTGACCAATTAAATCTTTCTTTACTTTCAGATTATGTGTGATGAACATGTGTCTGCTGTTATTCAAGGAGTCACCTGGAGTTGGGTTTGAGGTTCTCCACAGCCAGGTGTGTCCCACTGGAGATCTTGGAGGACCATCTGTTGTTAAGGACGTCATCGTACGAAGCACTGTGAACCATGTAGCCTGCGGGGAGCAGGAGAAAACAAAAGAAGCCGTCATGTCATGTAAGTAAAAAAAAAAAAAATCCATCCTGTAGAAGAAGCTTAACAAAAGAAGGATGTCTTGAATGCAAATCAACATAACCCCGATGCGCTGTTCAGGCTAATCTCTCAACAATAATTCATGTGATCATTTAATCCAGATTGGATCACTTCTTTGGGGGGTCTTTCACAATATCACATTCATAAATTACAGTTGTTAAAATGCCACAGTGGGAATTATTTCCAGGTTCAACAGGAGGAAACATGTATCTCCAATTTTTAAAATGCGTCATTGGCCCCCTGTTTATTTAAGAGACTCTTCTCAGCGCCTCAACCTTGTCTCTAACACTATCACTACACTATACTCACTTGATGGAAAGCTTAAATGGCAGATTTGGACTTTCTTAGTTGCATTATTGCCATCTACTGGGTCTATTTTGCACTGCTTGATTATTTCATCTAGGACAAACCTGGACAAACTGTGACCCGTGGGCCAGATACAGTCCGCTAGGCTTTCTATTCCGGCCCGCTAAACTCTGCCTTAAGATATGGTAAAGACTAATATCAATCGTTCTGTTTCATGCATTGCAACAAATCGACTGTAATTTCTGTTGGTGCCACTAGATGGCGACAGATTCGAAATGTGCCAAATCATCTTTGATAGTTTAGGTTTATACTTCTATATTTTATTTATATTATTTCGTCCAGCATTCTGCCATCAGCTAGTCAAATTTTGAACCTCATTTTGACCCGTAAACCCAAGAGTTTTCCCACACCTGGGTTATTTCACTTGCAGCAGAAAGTAGAACTAAGAAAATACAGAGAGAAGGTAGAAACCTAGCTGATGTTCACAAGACCAAATACTTTTTGTGGCTGTCTAAAAGTGACTAATGTGATAAATTTCTAACCCCAAAACATTTAATTTTATAGTTTATATTATTGTTCGTTTGTATTGGAAAAATTCATGTGTTGTTTAGTTTAGAAACAGCTCCAGAAGGTTTGAGAGAGCACGTCACTTTTAAAACTTCAATGTGTAATTATACTATTCTTAAATCTGAATAGACTTTGGGCAGACATTTCTTGGTTTTCATTTTTTCCTGCCTGTGTCCTAAATGTCTCCAAACCACCACCAGCTTTTGGTTTTTGGCCTTAAAAGTTGACAGAGATTAAAGGGAGACAGAATCCAAGAATTAAAACCTACAAATTCTCCTACAAAAAGAAACATTTTCGGTGCCTGATTTATAAGTGTGAAAACAACTTGCTGTGTTTTCATGAGTTATTGCTTGGACTATCTCTTGATTGGGCAAGCTACTGAAATCTCTGGCAGTAGCTTTGCAGTTGCCAGTTGTGCCAAACTGATCTTTTAAACAGAAAATCCAAAGTTCAATCCACGTCTTCAAATCAGAGAAGCTTTCTCACGTGTCAGCGTGAGCCAACGAGCCTTATGAATATTTATATTAAAATTAGGTTTATGTTTCCAATTATTTCCGAGACTTAATGGAATTTCTGGCAACAATTGATGACAACCGTCTTCTTCTCTGTCTGCTGGTCCATCCGCCTGTTCTTTGCAACCACATAGATCAATGTCAGAAACCAGCATCGTGACCCGGGGTCACGGAGCCTACGGTCGTTCACTGCAAAACTCCAGAAACCATCTCTGCTGCACATCAAAACTGCTAACTGTTTCTGTTGGACTTTCAAGTTTAAGTTGCTGTTTTTACTGGAGCTGCACCAACACATCTGGCTGCTGACAGGAGAGAAGGGAAATACTAGCTACTTTGTTAGACTTCACTTGGGTTTTCCATTCCTTTCACATTTTACAGGATTTAACACAAAAGTTTGACACACTCCCTGCCATCAGAGTCCCTGCATCCGTTCCTTCTGTAGGAATTCTCAGAAATACATCCCAGAAAAGGAGCCACATCCAACACATGGGGTATTCTAAGTGTGCGTGCTTTGAAAAAAAAAATAAAACAAAAGGCCATAAGTGTCTTACAATAAAAAGTGAAGCAGGAGTTTGTTTCACCTGTTACATGATAACAGCTGTTTCCACCCACTTGTTTTGAGAGCCGTGACCCATAACTTGTGCAGCATGGTTCTGCAAAAAGGTCCCAATAACTAAAACGGCCTTGGATATGCATGTGTGAACCATACCTTGACTTTATTTACAGTACAGTTGTAGCCAGATGTACTAAAAGCCAATTCCTAAGTGCTACTGCTGCATTCTTGTACACCTGAGTAGAAGTTCAAGAATTTGGAAAATATTTCCTGGGTATCACCACGGAAATATTCTGTCACACAATCCACACCAGTGTTCCACTGAAACTTAAAAATAAACACAGTTTAATTAGTTATAATAGAATATATAGCATTTTAAATGGAAGTAAATAGTAATGCTGTGCCAATATTCCCAGACAAATGTGCTACATAATATGGAAAATGGCTCCATACTCTGTGAGCACAGAGGAAACACAGGAGGATGGATGGAAAAAAAAGAAAGTGAGGAATAAAACACCAGTGACAGTTCAGAGCCTCTCTCTGTTTTACACATCAGAGGACAGACTGGCCCACGGCACGAGCAGGAGCTTGGTTTTCCTGCCAAAAAAAACCACACTGCCTTTCTGTCTGCTCGACTGTCATTAATAAGACCTTACCGTTGTAAGGTGTATCCACTCCTATTCAGCCATGTATTTCTCAGGAGTCACCAACTACTGTATATTTGCCTGAATTTTTCATAATAATTTTAATAATTAATACTGTGATGTGGTTTCTACAAAATTGCTTTTCTTACTGAGAGAAAACAAATTAGAATTAGTGTAAGTCCTCAACTACTCTTTTGCCTTGTTCTTTGTGTTTTGGCAGGTTCTACCAAATGTCATTCCTGATGCAACCCAACCTGGTATTTAAGGACTAGGTGGTATCGATCCCCGGGCCCTCTAGTGGCGGGCAGGAGTCCCACCACTGCAGCTTTATTGTGGATCATTGAAGTAAGTAAAATAATACATTTGAAATTAATGTATGTTGCTGCACCCCACAACCCCCCAGCCACATACAATAACTCCATGCCATCCACTTAGGGAACCATTGCCTCTCTGATTCTACAAAGTCAAAACAGAAGACAGATGGTCTACAGCTGGGACAGACTAGGAGAAATAGGTTTGTTAGTTTTGTTGTTTAGTTTTGTTCTTTTGGTTGTTAGGCTCAAAATTAATATGAACAACACAAAAGCCTTATTTAACAGCATAGTCTGATGTTGATGGGTGTAACAATTTGGGGTATTTTACTTGATCCTTCATATTATACTCTTTAAAAATTATTTTTGAAAATCCAGCAGTCAGTCAAGTTCACGTCAGTCTGACCGATGGAGACCTTTACCCTCTTACCTGACACCATATCTCCGGCCAGTGGACGAGCCCAGTCCAGGATGATAAATGAGTGACAGCCCTCCATGGCTACCACCGTGACGTTCTGGGGCTTGTTCTTGGGAGGCAGGTTCTGATTGGCTTGAGCACTGTCTTTCTTCATAAGGTTTTCTAGAATGTCCACCTGTAGATATTCCAGAGCTTCTGTCAAGGAGCAAGGAGCACCTGGGTCCTTCTGGATGTAGTTCACATAGGGAGCTGGCGTCAGGAGAGAGAGAGTATTATTTGATTAATTTTTTACCAGATTGTTCCACAATAATTGACATTCACAAAATGTTTTCAGCATTTTTACTGATATGGTATCATATAACAGCAGTCAGACAGGTCACTCCAACATTGTCTTTTTCTCCTCCTTTTTGCGATCCTTTTCTCATTTGTTTTCAATGATCCTGGAAACACCAGTCAGACTTACAGCTGTGAATATTTCAGGAATCGCACAATTTCTAGACTGACATGGGTTTTGGAGTGAGCTGCAGGAGCCTGGAGTGGCTCCCACCTCCACACATGATTGGCCCGTAGATGGAGGCCAAGAGTTTAACACGTCAACACATCAAGGCAGACTGTGAGATATAACAGTGTGTGTACATTCAGGCCTCCAGACTAACGTAGTTCTGTCGACTTGGGAACGTAGAAAAATATGTATTTTGGACGATAATTAATAGCAGTCGAATAGTAGGACGAAGATGGGGGGGGCGGGGGGGTGTGCACGGAAGATACACACCGTCACTGTCATGCACTACGGGAGCGCAGCTGCACGGAGTAAGTCACGTGACCCAAATTAACGTAACCCGCGGAAACACTAAGCAGAATGCTGGCGTCTTCATCAAAACACAGCGCCGCGTCGTTCCATACAGGCTACAGTTTAAAAAAAAAAAAAAAACTCCCGAGGGAGTTTAAAAAAAAAAACCCCGTAGGAACCGAAACAAACAGACCCGGTGCTTATTCACCTGCGGAGTCGAGGGTAAGTGTCTAATGAAATGTTGTTTAGCTAGCTAGTTAGCTGGCTCTTCTACGTCGCCATGAGTAGAATGAAAAAGTCTTCTGACCTCTCCTGTCACTCAAACACACGAGTTGAGGCTTGTGAATGGCAGGTCCCCCAAACATTTGGAGTTAGTTGCAGGTTTTTAAACTAAGAATAAAGAGAACAAGAACATAAGTGTTGAATGAATGGGAATACTCAGTTGTGACAGTGATTTGTTTTTGTTGTTTTTGTTTTTTTCACAGAAATGTCTGACTTTCCTGCTGGCTTTTAAGGTGACACTCCATGGTCTCTTCATCATCTGTGCTAAGGTTAGCTGCAATAACATTTAATGCTTCTCATCACGTTCCTTTTTCTGTCTTCCCTCCACAGCTCTTTGGGGAGTCATAATGTTCAGATGCATATTTTTGATAAGTAGTTCACCACAAGAAGGACGAATATCTTCAGTGATACAGAGCAGATCGCCCTGATGTATCTGTCACTGTACTGAAACACACTGAAGCTATTATTAGTACAATCATTGAAATATCCATAAAGTTTAGTTCAGGGAAAGTACATCAGGCTTTCAGTGAATGATGCTGATGGAGTCTGACAGGTCGCAGTCTGTTATTTTACAAGATGTGCATAAATCTGAGGTAGATGCCTCATTACTGAGCTAAATTACTGAGCTAATTAAGGCTCCTCATCAATTTGTCAAGGTCGATTTACTGAACGTGAATAAAGAATATGAGTTTGAGTGTTAGACGGCAAGTGAAAACAGTTGTACAAAGTTTTCTCTTTCCTGAAGAGTTTTTTCTATTCCTCTTGTTTGCAACAAGGAGGAATGTCAAGGGAGTGGAAGAACGCCTTGTCCTAATGAATGTTTAAAAAGAAAAATGCAACAAAATCTTACTCATATTACATATTTTCCAAAAAAAAAACTTTGCAGCCCCATATACGTAGCATTATCATTTCATCCTAAAAGATTTAAAACGTGACAGATTATTTTTGTTTGGATTATCCATAAACTGTATAACTGTCAAAATGCCTGAAACTTTTTAATTTGAAGATATGGTAGCCATAAATGAAAAAAAAGTTGCTAAATGTTTTTTTTCTCTTTACAAACAATAGCATTATAAATAAAAAAATAAATAATTACTTTTGTCTACAATGACCTAAGATGTCTCATGTGACCAACAGCAGTTTAAAAGTACTGATTATACACATACATTATTTTGATAATGAAAATAATGTAAAAGACAAAGACAAAAAGCAGGGATGGAAGTTCTACAGTGCAGTTAAATCTTTATTGTTATATTCTTAGTCATTTCTGTTTCTAGTTCAACAAACCGGAATTTAGTTGCAGATATGGTTTGCTATTTATGAGGTTTCACCTTGTGAGCCAAGGTAGAGGTGTAACTTTATTACTTCGGCACAAAGACTCCGAACTTTGATCAGAATTCTTTTTTTTTTTTTCACAGTACCAAGAGACCTGTCGAGCAGACATGCTGTCACACTCCTGGATGGAGACAAGATACGAATAAACCAGGTTTGCATGATCAGTCATATTCCTCTACCAATATTTTTACCGTCTACATTACTGTTTAGCTTGTAGACTAACAAACCAACTGTCAGGTTCATCCAAAGTATATTTCTAGAGCCCTTGCACAGATTTTTATTACTGACAGGGATAATAAATCATGTAAGTCCAGATTTATTTTTCTCTTCAACCTCTGCATGACTCTTCCCTTCTACTGTAGGTGAAAGGGTAAGTAAGGTGAATGTTGGCCTGAGAATCATATTCATATCACCGTGTAATTTAATATTATTTTGTGCCTCAAATCTCAGGCTTACGGGCCACTTTGATCCTGCGAACCGCACACATGCAGCCCACAACTAGATCTCAGTATGATGTAATCTGACCAACGGGCACAGATGACACTATGGACGGGGGGAACCCCTAATTCTTAAGTACCTGACACCCAAGTAAACCTATATAAAAATATAAAGTACATGAATATAAATAAATGTATTATATATATAAATATATATAGATGTCTGTGTATCTGTTAAGATTGTTATGTTTGTATGTATGTATAGTGGTATTGCTGATAGCTTGGTCCTGCCTCGGGAAAAATGTTACAAACATTACTTTTGCAAGACATTAGATTTTGGTTGGTGAACTTGCTGTTGTCCACTTTGATTCATTGACGATCCCAGTCAGGGGACAACAGTTGAAGAAATTACAATCAACTGTATTACCAAACTGGAGCAGGTTAACAATGTTTTCACAGAGGGGAAAAATAAATGAAGTTCAGATTGCAGTACCTGTGAATCGCTTCCTTCCACTCAGGTCATACTCTGACAAAGGCCCTCTATTGGAAGGTCCAGGGCGGGGCGCTGGAGTGGAGGCGTCCATGGTAGTGCTGGGAATGGTGGTGGACGGTGGAGGCAGGGTGGTCTCTGTGAAAAGCTCATCTGACAAGAATAACATGTGTTAATGAGCTTCTGATTGGAAAACAAATATTTGATGTGTTTTTACATCTTAACTTCGAAGCATGCTGCTGTGTGTCATTAGTCCTTTGTGTCACCATGATCTGCGTAATTAGAGGGTTAAAAAGACAATGTTAATTGTAGACAGACATTTGCGTTAACACTGGAAAGACCCCACACCCTACGTTGTGTTATTATGTAATGTTTTCCTGCCCTTATTTTCCAACTGAGTCCGGTTTGATGACATTTCACAAGACTTCAAGGCTAAAAATGTGAAATGATTCATTGGGTGAAATTTAATTAGTTCCTTCCCCTTTCATCACAGATTTCTCCATGTGCTGCATTGGTGGACCTTGGCATTACATCATGGTCCACACACATGCAACAAGCTTTTAGCAATGACATGAAAATACTCAGGAAATACTGCAGTGACATTCTGGCAACCACCTCCCCAGTGCTAGCCACATATCACAAGCTGCTTACGTGCTGCAGGTTTATGTGACCGGACATCCTGGATTTCACAGCGGAATAACATATACAAACAACCAACAGCAGTTTTCCATTCAGCTGAAGCTGGGGGTTATCTATTATATTGCAAAACAAAGTTAATCACAGCATAATACATTACATTAAATCTTAAGCCAAGGCATTCTCTTCTACTTAGTAATGTTGTTCACATGCAATCTGGGTCCAGTCTTTTGGAATAAACCTGATTATAAACAGCCAGAATGGAAACTCTCCAAAATCCAAGCAGTGAACCAGGACCAAGCCCAAACAGATATACAAGGAAAATAAAGGGAAGACCACAGGCAAGGCAGAGAGGAAGAAACGTGAAGAGCTAGCAAACAGATCCACCGACAGATAAACAGGCGCTGACGAAGCGTCATGATTGACAAACAACAAACAATGAGCCGACAGTGCATTTAAGTCCATCTAGCCCAGTGGGGGTGGGTCGATCTGAAGCCATACTCAGCCGATACCTTTGTTAAGAGCTAAAGCATCAGGCATCATGGTCACAGTAACCATGTAGTCCATTTCCAATCCCGAGGATTCCTCTGCCAGAGAAGTAGAACAGGCTGTAGCATCAGTCTCATATAATTGGTTAACACTTTGAATACAGGTGCAAATTATGATACAAACCATGTCTGCAGGGAGCGACTACTTCTAGATTAGGGCTCTGAATAAGACCAAGAAAAGGTCAAAAGTATTCCAGCAAGGGTTTCTCTGGTTGCATTAAAACTCTATCTAACATTTGTATGAAGTAAGAATTTTTTTTTTGAAATGTCCAAACAGTCCTATGATTGCAGCATTGTCTCGTTTCTGCCTCCAGTTTTATCCCTGGCTACTGTGACTTTATGAAACATTTGAAGTTCATAACGGCACTTAATAACAACAAAATGACATTAGCAGCAGTTTGCAACTGGATATCTTAAGGCCATCAGCACTTTAGTACAAGAGTCAGTCCCCAGATGTGGAAACTTCTGTGTAGTTTAAGTGGTTTCACATTAACCCTGCTCAGTAACATCTGTCTCATTCAATCTGATTACGGGCCGACAGCATCAAGTACGTCACTTTACACCTGGCATTTGAAAATCTCCTGACATGTGTCTCCAATGACTGCCTGTGATCAGACCACACAGTCCATCACGTCTTAGAATGCATGATGTCTTTGGGTCAGTTTGAGTTACGCTGACAGATGGTTGTCAATGTGTTTGTGGATTGCTTGTGTGAGCAAAGAGACAACTAACCTAAAAGAAGAGAGATGTAGTAATAAGAGCTGTAAGAAGAGCTGGAGTTAAACAACCTGACTTTGCTCACATCTTCGTAGAGAATTCTGTTACAATTCTATTTTAAATGAAGTCATCTCAATCCAGAATGACCACGAATTTAGGTTTGTCACATATATATGTTTGGTAAGGAAACTGCTGCTGAATGTGCATTATGTTTGGGCAATATTGCACTATAAACTCATGCTACTTTGAGCAGCACATGGCCGTAGGATTGCGTTACTGCTAAACAAGGTGGACCACCTGTGGGTCAGGTGTACTCCCAAAATACAAATATTTGTAATGTATTATGATAGTTCATTGAAGTACTAGGAATAAAAAATCTTGGGTTAGATTTTATTTTTCTAAAACTGTATATTTGTAGTCTTTGCAGGTTTACCTTCTGGATAACAATTCAATATTCCTTCTTGGTCCAGAAGGGGAAAACCATATTCATCTCTTTTGGCATATGTCCCAGGTGGGCATGTCGGGTATGGCATTGTCGTAGTAAAGTCCTCTGTGGTCCATGCTATAGTTGTAGGTACCGGTGTGGTGGTAGCTGTAGTGGTGGTGGTGGTGGTGGTTGTGGTGGTTGTGGTGGTGGAGCCCCTGCGATTGATCACATCCAAGCCAAGCAAAGGTTTCCCTCCAACTGTGAGGACCTTCTCTTTGGGATTGACCACAGGTCTACTGTCTCTGCCATGACCAAACAGAGCCATACCTTCCTGGTTTAACAGTGGGCTCCCCCTGTGGTCTGGTAGACAGGTCACAAGAAGATAAAAAGAAAAGATAAGATACAAATCTTTTACAATATTTTTTTCTTTTGGCATTGTAAGGTAAGATGTAGTATATCACCAAAAATTGTGCGTCCATCCTCGCCCAGCACTACTCTCCTGGGTTTGCCACTGGAGTCCTGTAGGATTTGTCCAGCCTGGTTCATAAGAATACCTTTCTCCAAGTCTACAATCTGGAATGAAACACTGATTTACCACATGAATTGTCATAGTCATATGTTAGAAATCAGTTTAAGTTTAAAGCATTGATGTTGGAGCGAAATATTACACAAAGTACAAGTGAAAGTTCACTGCCTGTGTTAGGAAAAAAAAGTTTGATTTTCCTGATAATTTCTTGGACAAGTGAAGTTGAAGTTGACTATCTGCCAAAAGACACAACATGTAGACAAAGACTGGATGTGTCCTTTGCCAAGTCTAAGATTTGCTAACAATTGTTAGCACCTGTAATCTATCCTGTCTGTCTTATCCAGAGTGTCAAGGTTTTTCTTGTGAGTCAGGGATTGCAAAAAAACAAAAGGGAGTTACCCATTTGCTTCCATCAGGTCCAGTGATGAACTTTCGACCAACAGCTTTACTGGTTTCAGGAGAGGCAGGGGCATCTTTATCGTTTGCTGCTGTCAGGTTGGGTCGTCCATTTTTACCTAAGTGTATAGTTGTAGGTTTTACAAGAAGGATAAACAAGTAGTGTATAGTTGTAGGTTTTACAAGAAGAATAAATCTGAATTGTACTATTTTAATCTTTGTATCATTTTAATATTTGCTTGTTCATGGTTTTATACTGACATTACCATTTCCATTAGCAGGTTTGAATGTTCCTCCATTGATTGGTTTCCCTCTGCTGATAGGATACCTAGCCCTAACCCCAGCTCCCCTTGTAGTATCTCTAGATGACAAAGAAGCAGTTGAAGATGATGACGATGATGATGTGGACTGTGATTGTCCTTCAGCAACTGTCCCTGTCTTTCTCTCAGAAGGCTGAGTTCCAGCTTCATTATGTGATGAAGAGGAATCAACAGAGGATGAAGATGATTGCGATGTTGAAGACCCTGATCTTGTGTTTTGAGCTGGTTGTGGTCTGATGGGAACTCTTGGTCTAAACTGCCTATTTGCCAAAAATGGACTGTGTGCCCTTGGACTTGTACCTACAGCAGGTCTGCGTTGAGTTGGAGGTACTCCTACAGATGTTCCAGTTCTTGTTCCAGAGGAAGTTTCTCTGGTATTTACACTTTCATTTTCCTCTGTGTTTCTGTCGGCATTAGCTGATGTTACAATAGGAGGTTTCTCAGCCTCTGTGGAATCTGTGTCTTCGTCATTTTTACCAACATTTCTACTTACTTCTTCCACATAATCCTTTTTATGACTGTTTTGATTGCCATAAGTTGGTTTTTCATGGATCCTCTCACTTGAACCTGTTGGTCCATGTGAGGTATGATGGGATGTCGAAGCCACAGAAGATGACGCTGAGGTAGTTGTTTTTCTAGTTTCACCAGATGCAGGATTTTTGTCAGCCAAAGAAGGTTTAACCACACTTACTCCAACCCCACTCTTTATGGAGTCCCTGTTTGAAGGACTCTTTAGATCCTCATTAGTCTCCTGAATTGGAGAGACTCCAGAAGCACCTGTGGCACCTGAGACCCTTGGGGTTGTGCCCCGTAAAAAGGGTCTGAAAACCCCTACAGAAGATGAAGTCCTAGTCAGAGGGGATCTACCATCCTGTTGCGAAGCTAATGTCCTTGTCCTTGGCGCAAATTGTTCTGGATAACGACTAGCTAGCCAGGGGAATCTTTCGGCCAAGGATGGGCTCTTACTCCCCTCTTCTGTGGGTTGCAGTTTAGAAGTTATGGTAGGCTCCTCAATATTTTTCAATTCTGTATTTGTGCTTTCAGGTTTCATGTCATCATTTCCCCTCGAGTATGTTCTACCTACCTCAGATGGTGTGTGTGAATTTGTTGTCCTTTGAGACCCTCTGTGTGACACTGATGGGGAGGAGTGGGATGTTGTGGATCTGAATGGGTGTTGTGGGGTGCTCTGTGATGTGACTGGAATACTGCTCTGGGACCTGGAATGGAAACTGGTCTGACGTCTGTGACCATTGTTTGTATCAGATTTTGCCTCGTTGTTAGTCCTTTCTGGTACTGGGAATTGTGATACTGATGATGTGTGTGCGTTTAATGTTGCTGAGTTTGCAGCTCTGTTTGGTAAATTAGACTGTGGAATTGTGGCTGGTTTGTAACCGTTAAGTATTCGTGTTGAATTTCCTCTTAACATAACCCCAGGACGTCTTCGGCTAAAGCCATTTCTCGTTCCATAACCAAAACGGCCACCTGGACCTGTACTTCTACTTGCTTGGGCAACCTCTGGCTGCTGTGAGCTGTTTTCTTTTTCAGCTGGAGAGGGAGGTTTGTATGATGGAATTTCCTTACCAACTAAGTCTTTATTTTTGGAATAGGTGGAAGCAGTGTAGTCTTCCCTTCTCGCTGCTGACTCCTGAATGTGGGATGGAGATGATGTTGATGCTAAAGGAGAGTGTGAGGAAGAGGTAGAAGATATAAAGGGAAAAGGAGATGAAGATGGTTTTTTATGAACCCGTATCTTAATGGGCCTCCTGGGCTTTGAGTTAGGCTTTCCATAAGTCTGTTTAGTAGGTGAGGGTGTCAGGATTTTTAGGTTTGGTGTCTCTGTTGTATGCAACTCTTCCTCCTCAACTTCAGGAGAAACATCATTATCAGGTTCTTTTGCCTCTGGTACCATCATAGCGGTTGTTGTCTCTTCAACCGGAGGTGGTGTTGTTACTTTTCCTCTGGAGAAATCCCTGCTGTTCCTGGATGAACCCCTCGCAGAGAAGAAAGTGTCGTGATAAGACCTTGACTGAGAAAGAGGGCGTTGACGCTTCTTGGCTGATGCTACAGGGTTCGACTGTGAAGGTGTAGTTGGTTCCACTGGTGCTTCTGTTGTCATAAGTTCAGGTTCATCAAGGTCAGTATCCTGTCTGGACGGAGAGTGGCTGGTTCTGTGTATGACCTTTGGTTTTGATGAGGAACCGCTGGCTGTCAGAGAACAAACATTTCGATGAGTGAGGGTCAAACTAGTTCTACACCTGCTTTAAAATAGAAGAAATACTTACATCCTGGCATGGTGACACTGAGAGCTTTGCTTAGAGGTCCCTGTCCCCTTCTATTGGTTGCTCTTATTTTGAAGATGTAAGTGTCTCCTGGTGTGAGTCCCTCTACTGTGGCTGTGCTGGTGCTGGCACGGTATGTTTCACTTTTCATCCCAAAAGGCTTCAAGGCAGGAGCATAAGACAGGATGTAGTCTGTACAGATACAGGGTACGACCAAGATCTCAATTTCTTTGAACAACTGAAATGACCAATGTGGCCATAAATAAATCTGAAAAAAATCTAAACACAATCACCTAAATGTTACACCACAGCAGCTGCTGTAATGTAATAATGCAGCTAAAGCCAAAAAAACACTTCAATGCAAGCAACCCCCCCCCCAAAAAAACACACAAAATAATTGATGATTATCAAAACATTATTGTGTCTCTAGGTTGATACAAGAAAAACACCAAAAGGCACGAATCAGAAACCAAAATATGGAATCACTATGGGAATATTTGTGGTGTTTTTTTTAAGGCAACAATACAAAAAGACTACATTGAGTAGTTACAACTTCATAATTTTATAATTCTAGGCAGCATAGACTACCTGTCTGAAATTATGACACTAATTTCCGTCATGCTTCATAACACAGTGGTGGCTGTCAAAGTCAAAGACTACTCTGTAATTAACAGTAAACTATTAGTGCACTCAAACTCATCTTTGTGGAGCTGACCTCTTATCCTGCCATTGGGCTGGTCAGGCGGGTCCCATGTAGCAATGACTGCAGTTCCTTTTCCTCTCAGTGGCTTGACTTCAAAGTTCTCTGGTGGTCCAGATGGTGCTAGTGAGGGAGCCGAAAAAAAACATGTGCATATGAATGGAAAGACAAGAGTTTAAAGAAAGATCAGCAGGATAGAAACCAGAACCAGCACAGAGGGACTATCCTTAGGAAATTGCTGGTTAAGTCCTGTAAAAACAGCAAGGGCAACTGTGCCAGCAGGCTGAAGCTGAAGGACAGACTGCTGCTGTAGCGACGTGATAACTTAGGATGGTGTATGAAATCGCACAAGAATAATTCCGCTGTAAAAGAAATAGGAAATACTGACTTTTTAAGGAACCACAACTTAGGAGCAACAGTGCTGCACTATATTAAATTAAAGTAATGGGCAATAAATGTTACTTTATAAGTAAAAGCAATGAGGCAAGGTTATAGAGGAATACATTTTCTGATTTTTTTTTATGCTAAAATGTAAATTTTGTCTTTCCCAGGCTTTTTTTTTATTGAAAACGAATAACTTTCCATCGTTCCAATCTCTCCAGTCCACCTGCTTTACTGCGTACAGAGTTTTATTGTATTCACAGATCTCAAGTGGCAGAACAAACCTGACTCGGGAGTTCTCTGGAACACTGAGACACTCCATTTGCCATGCTTTTCATCTTGGGAGATTCTGACCGAGAATTCATACATGCTGTCAGCAGTCAGGGTGTCTATCATCATCCTCTTCTGGGGGCTGTCTTTGTATTCCCACCGGGCTGATTCTCCCTTCTCTCTGTACCTCACTGTGTAGGATCTGAGGCCAAAGGAATGAAAATGTTCAATTTCATTATGAGTCTTAGCGTCAAAGTTGAATACTTTTCATATCCTCTGAGCAGCAACCATTTCTTGACCTTTTGTTTTCACCGTGATGTATTTACAAGTTACAATTCCTACTTTAAATCCAACTTGAACTGATTAACTTCAATTTGATGTTTAATTTAATGTAGTCTAGGTAAAGTCATCTAATGGTCCAAATAGACAGGCTGACTGGGATGTAATCACAGATCCTACCTGTCCTCCTCAGGGTCCACTTTTCCCAACTCGATCAAAGGGTCCACCCAGGAGATGAGGACGGACTGAGGAGACATGACCCTGACACTGATGTCCCGTGCCTCGTACTCTGGTTCTGGCTCTGGTCATCACACACAAAAGACGATAGGGACGGAAACAAAACACAATCTTCAAGGTAAGAAAATGTATTTACTAACCAAGTTCACATTATTAATCGACTCACTACCTGGCGTAGTAGTTTTTGTTGCGACTGCTCTGTTAGCCGGTGCACTCCTTCCCTGGACCTTCTGTGCCTGCAGTGACACCACATGAACGGACTCAGAAGCTATGAATAAAAAGGGATACCAGGCATGGCCAGGGTTTACACCATGACACTAAAGGTTTATATTTAGAATTATTTTGAACAGTAAAGCTCTTAGGAGACTGTCAGAACTTAAATTTCTTTATCAGAGAGTGACTTGTGGTTCCTCTTACTTAGCTTGGGTGTGTTGCGATTTCTTTGGTCTGACTGAGGCTTGGTGTGGCGCTGACGTCTCCTGTCCAGCAGAGACATTCCTGCCACGGGTCTCTCAGGTTGCCTGGGACCTGAGGAAGACTGCGGCGCCCTCCTGTGTGTCCTTATGTTAGATGCACTGGAAGGCCGTGACGTTTGGTCGTCTCTTGTGGCACGTTTGACAGAGGGCTGAGTTCTGGCTGCAGTGTGTGGAAACCTGATTGGACCTGGGGGTGGATGATGAGGGGAATGGTGACAATTTAGAGCAAGTGTCTTAGACGTGTGTCCATGAAGCAGAATCTTGGGTATTTTGACAAGGATGTTCCTTTTTACAATGAAAAAGTTTGGAAAAAGTTATCAAAGGAGTGTAAAATACTGTAGATGAAAAAAAACAAAAAATGTTTCAGTAACATTTTGAGTTCTCCTGCCAGTGCAGCTGAGCAAATTTCTTTTGGATCTGATAAGTACTGAGTCTTTGTTTGGTTTTGCACCAACTCCCCATTAAATTGTGTTTTTTCTCACACATTTTTCCTTTGCTGCACCTGTGATATTTTCCACTGGCTCTGCATCTGTGTTTTGTATTACGTTTCTTCTCCCTCTGCCTTATCTGTCTTTCACCATAAACAATGTAACAACTTTAACATGATAAGAATTAATTAGAGAATACTGGCCTCAGTCTTCGGAAACACTGAGTGCTCTGCTTTAAGTGTTTGATCTGCCGAACCATTTCTTTACCACGTTTGTCATAAAAATCCTAAAAATGTTTCCTCCTGCTTGATTGGTTGAAGATAAGCCTTAAGTCCATGTTATGCATTCATTCAGCATCATAATTCTTTAATAAATTAAGAGTAGATAATAACAGTAATATTGATATTGTATTGATTCTTCAAAGGTGTCGAACACATCTGCAAATTAAAAATCTGTTTTATTGCAATTTCCACAAGTGTGGTTACAGTTTTGGAAATTAAGCAAATGTGCAAAAATGTGGGTTTGTAGATAAAACACATTTTTGTAATTTGTGTGTGTGAGGAAATGGGTGTGAGAGAGTGAGTGGAATGTAGCGTCGAGTCCATTTTGAGTGGTCACCGAGCCTAGAACAGCATGATATACTGTGAGTGCGGACCTTTCACTTCATTTGGTTTTAATCAGCTGACTTCTCCCTTTTCCTGATTTTCTCCTTCCTCTCCTCTGTCTGGAAAACTGTCGCAGTGCATAGTTTGGCCCAGGTCAAAACGCCACGGACCACTAAACCATTGACTCCACAGAGCTCAGTGCGACTGCCAGATCCTTTCTGTCTTTTCCTGGAAGCTTAACAGTCTAAAATGCAATGTGCAGCATGCAGACAGTGAGACATTCCAAGGCTGCAGCAGAGAGTAACCATCTCAGCAGTCACTGTGAGATGCCACTGACTTTTCATTCTCTGTCCTTCAACGACTCAAAGAAATCCAAACTTCTGCAAACCTGATTTTGTCAGTTTCAGGCGTACAGTGATGAGTGTAGCCACAGTTTCCGTCCCACAGCTACACAAACAATTCCCTGCGGTTGAGTTTTCCCGGAGATAGTAATAATGTAATTGGCAGAGGTAGCAGCAAATGAATGTCAAATAAACTAAAGGATTCCATTATTCTACTAGATTATCTGACAAAGCATACAAAATACTGAAAAGTCACATTGGTGTTATATATCCAGATATTATTTTAGAGTTTAGTTAGTTAGTTGGTGTGCTTAAAAAGTTAAATAAAACTTGAATGAAAGTTTATTTAAGAGATTTCTGGTAATAAAGTAAATGTTAACCCAAGCCTTATTTAGTTATCCTTGTATAAACCATCTAAGACTTGACTTGGTGATACAATTTCAGTGGTAGCAGAGGAACTAAAACAGTCTTGTGACATTTGCTTTGCTTTAGTTTCAATTTTGAAATTTTCCAGAAACACAGAAGTAGCTTGGCTTGATTCACTGAGATTTAACTCAACAATTTTCTGCATCTCCAGAGCAGCCCTGCCTTGCATAAATAAAATCAACTGTATGTTTATGCAGGCAAGTGAGAGACAGTCAACTTACTGCTCATTTCATTGTTGTAAAGTTCTATCCCACAGACTGAAAAAAATATATTATTTAACGCCAATAACAACAGTGACGAGCAGATAAGTGACAACTAATAAACACAGTACTGTTCAGAGGTTCCTCTTAAATACCTCTGGTGTTAAATTCAAGGTGACTGCCAGAAAAAACAAACCTGGCTTAACAGATGGGAAAGTATGAGTCACACACAACTTTCTCCTCACTGTTAGTCATCATCACATTAGGACTGTCTTGTTCTTCATCTACAGTGAAGGTAGACCGCCTTCAGTGGATTAGACCAGACAGTTTCAAGACAAATGAAGGTGGGACAGAGACACACCCCACTCCCTTTGTGTTGTGGGGAAAGACAGGGTTTGGATTTACCTGCTGATGTGTTGCTGACAGGTGACCCGCCCAACACTGCGAAGCCATCCAGGTTAACCCATTCAGGGTCTGAAAGCAGACGCAATGTTCAGTTAATAACTGTGATAGTTTGGAGGCCTGTCAGTCATTAACTTGATTTATTAAACTTTAAATACCAGAGATGTAATTTGGATTGTGGACGTGTTTAAATGCCTGGTGTCGAGTGTCCACCGAGGGAAAAGACAAACGATCTTTAGTTTGTCACCAGTTTCATGATCAGCCACAAAGCACATGACGTTCAACTTGAATTGGCAGCCATTCTTTTAGCTTCAACATATGGTTGACATGGTGACAATAATATTTAATGCAAAGCACATGACGTTCAACTTGAATTGACAGCCATTCATTTAGCTTCAACGCAACTGACATCGTTTACATGGTGACAATAATATTTAATTATATATGAAATAGATGTGTATTTACGACTCATCCAGACCAGTTTTGTTTTTGGTACTCAAAATGCACTTTGGTTTCCAAACTGTTTCTGCTGCCTGCCCCTACAACATTTTTAAAATTTCTTTCTCCCCTGCGATAGCTTCATAAGGGGTCTCACCCCCCCCACTTTGCGATGCACTGCCCTAATGCCGCTGGTCCCCGTGCCATGACAGTGTACTGTGATCTGACTGACGTTACCTATAACATGATGAAGACCAGTCCACACAAACAGCAGAGACTCCTTCAGTCTGAACATGATACATGTGAATACATTACTTCATTTCTTAGCAACACCCGTCTCTGTGCCTCAACCACAATTAAACAAACTCAGTGCCCAAACACACACACACACACACACCACGTCCAGTGACCACAACACAACAGACTGGGCTGAAGGAGCAGGGCAGGGTTTGGATGTAAAAAATAAAAACTGCAGTCTTTGAACCACAGAGGAAGTATGGGCTTTAAAGAGGCAGGAAAATGTAGTGATGAGAAAAGCAGACGAGTGTGTGTCGTGTGTGTGTGTGTAAAAACATAAGGACCTGTCTTGTGTTTTACAAGGTTAGGATTATGGATCACCACATGAGCAGTTAATACCTAAAAATAATCGTCCTCTCGAAAACCTGAGCTGACCTTTGAGTGTTTTCCTCCATTCATTTATTAACTTTATTTGTTTGGTTTGTTCTGATTGTTCTACCCTGTTCTTCCTTCTTTCTTTGTTTATTACTTCCTTTCTTTCATCTTCATTTGTTTGTTCATTTTCTTCCTTGTTAGCTTTCTTTTGTTCTTTCTTCCAGTTTTTGATCATTCCTTTCTTCGGTCATATGGTTTCTGTTTTTCTTTTTCTTAATTTCTTTCTCTTGTTTTTTTCATTCCTTTATTCTTATTTCCTTTTGTTCTTTCTCTTCTGTTTTATTTCTCGCTATATCTCTGTCCATCTTGCTTTCTTGCATCTTTATCTTTTTCTTTCTTTCTTTCTGTCACTTTTTCTCTCAAACCTGGACAATATAACATGCATTCATTGATTATGAAAACCTAATCTACTGATAAACATTTCCTTCAGCTCACTTTTATGTCTTGTTTATTCTCATGGAGCAGAAACTCTCCTCGTACTTAAGGCCAAACCCGTGTTTGTCAACCTGTGCCAAACCAATTCTCTCACTTAATCCAGCTGTCTCTCTTGTCCAGTAGCCCACTACTCACACTGCTTAGTCTGTAACTTTTATTCTTTCATCCACACCTTTGTCACTCACTCACCGACGTCCTCCAGTACAGGAGTGCGGACATCTTTGCCCGTCTTGGTGAAGCGGTGTGACCTCGAGGGTTTGTTGGGGCTGATTACGAAGCGGTCCACAGGTCTCCCGTCCAGATGAATGGAGGGCTCCCAGCTCTCCCTGAGGCTTTTGTCTGACAGGTTCTGTTTGCCACTCTGTGTCCGCACGGTCTTCTCTGCTACCAAACAAAGACACGTTAGGATTTTGTCTTTATTCCTCTGTAAAATGACAAATCTCAAAAGCAGTTTTAAAGTAGGCAACTGGACGAACCTCGTAGTATTAACATGTCTAAACACTGCTGTCTGCCTAGTTTTTCATGGCCTACAGCTGAGTCTGTGATGCTAATAAATCTTTGCTTTAGTACTACTACAATATTTTATCCTATATTTATCAGACCTGGAAGATAACCTGGAGTCTAAAATGAAAAACTGTAGATCAGCATAAAAAAAAATCAAAACTAATAGCCCAGAGAACAAGGATTCCATATTTTACCTACATAATGAGAAAGCAGTTTCAAGTCAGAACAATTTAATTTCTCTCTTTTCATAATTATTATCCTTCTAAACAGAGTAACATAGTGAACATTGTAGAAGTGAATGACATTGACACACTAGTACAGAGAGAAGAAGCATGGCACTGTCAATATCTACGTATCCGTACATCTTTGTCATCGTCAGTATTTATTTAATTGTTTTTGCAATATCCCAGCCTTGCATCCATAAAGTACATCTCTCTATCTTTATTATTTATTAAGGCCTACAGCTGCACCCCTTCCAAGAGGTGGCGCCTGAGGCCATCGTTAATTGCCAACAGCAATCTTGTGTTTTTGCGTGCATGAAGATTCACTTTATGACTCTGATCTGCAGCCGTCTGCAGGTGTGCTCCCAGCTGTGCCTCCATCTTTTTACATTCAGAAATAACACATAACAATAACACATTTTTACACATCGCACTCTGGTTTCAAACCTTGTGTTCTACCAGGTCTATGGAACGTATTAAACAAGCACAAGAAAAAAGTGTTGAGAAATAAAAGTTTTAGATGACCCATGGCACTGTCAATATCTACGTATCCGTACATCTTTGTCATCGTCAGTATTTATTTAATTGTTTTTGCAATATCCCAGCCTTGCATCCATAAAGTACATCTCTCTATCTTTATTATTTATTAAGGCCTAAAGCTGCACCCCTTTCAAGAGGTGGCGCCTGAGGCTGTCGTTAATTGCCAACAGCAATCTTTTTGCGTGCATGAAGATTCACTTTATGACTCTGATCTGCAGCCGTCTGCAGGTGTGCTCCCAGCTGTGCCTCCATCTTTTTACATTCAGAAATAACACATAACAATAACACATTTTTACACATCGCACTCTGGTTTCAAACCTTGTGTTCTACCAGGTCTGGCTGCAGGGAGAGGGTTTTCCCAGTTAAAAAAAAAAAAATAGAATCCCTCTTTATTCTTTTGCTCATTAATTCAAGGTAACACTGGAGGTTTTTATCAGCTGTCTGTGGTCAAACCCACTGACAAAAATTTGGAGCGACTTCAATCGCGTGCCACCTGTTTCCAATAACTCTGTGTATTACGTACAAAGGGTTCTGCTCCTCTGTCCACACACAGCTCTGCTATCTGGCTCCTCTCTAACAGACTTGGGAAGATCCAAAGACAGAGGCCAGATATTTTTGATTAAAGCATGGCTTGTTTGAGCGCAGCAGACGCATGATTACCATCCCAGAATAAACAGTTTGAGATGCATTTAGGGCAGAGTGGGTTGTAACGGCGCAGTCTTACAGAGGGAGGCTTGGAGTCAGGGTGTTACGGAGAGAAGCTGCAGACAGACACATTAGGACTGGGTTAGACGGTGGAAAGTGTCAAGAATTTGAGGAATGAGGGCAAAGCCTGAGGGTCTTGACAACTTTGTCCTTAAAATAGTAGGTTATAAAGACGGCAAGAGTCCAAAATAAAGTTTCTGTGCTGCTGCTTTTAAAAGAGTAGAAACACATCAGGTAGACGTAAGTGTATGTGCAGGTGTAGTTTGTTGTAGGACCATGTGCAGGTCATGTGCAGGTCAAAGGTCGACTGTAAAGCTGTACCAGCAGCCAGTCTAGTTTTACAAGAGAATGTTTAGCTGCAAAAGGAAAAAAAAAAGAACAATCACACATGTCGACCTTTGACTCAACTCTAACGACTTTGCCTTTGACCCCCAAGTATCTGTCGTCCTTGGTGAATGTGTGTGTGTGCATGTGTTTATGCATGTGTTTGAGTGGGAGTAGGTGTGTGTGAAGCGCTAACAAGGGAGATGATGCGGTTCCTGAGTCAAGATCAACTCTTTGAATCAGGCTCCAAGTTTCTTTGTCTTTCCAGTAATTTCAAATGATGCTGAAGTTTCCACTCTCTTGTTGTTTTATGTTTTACTTGTTGCAGCACAACTGGGCTTCAAATAGAATAAAGCATAATGAATGTCTCGGCATGGACTGGCTGCCAGCTCCTTTTTTTTGACATTTTCATTTTGCGTGTTCCTCTTGAATCTTTGTAACTTCAGGAGTAAGCTGCCATTTGGATGTGTGACTTTAAAGAAGACATGTAACATGACCGCAAATGTTTTTTTTTTCATGTCCACCGCTGGCTTAGAATCGGAGATACTTCTGGCTTGATTTGTCAGGGGTTTGGGTCGGTGGTATGACGTCTCTGCCAAACAACAGAAGAACAAAGCTTGTTTTGGTACTGACAACCTAAAAGCACAGCCACAACTCAGTGACCAGAAACAAATCTTGCACTGTTCATGGCTGCTGTATCATCATTAGTCTGCAGAGGTTTTATACTGACGAAAAAAACAACAAAAACAAGGTTCAATTCTTCCAGTTTGCATTTATTGGAAGCCTAAGTGAACTCTAATAGATGCAATCTGAAACCCCGGGCAAGAAGAACTGAATTTATCAGCGTGGCCTGTTAGCATTATGAGCAACATTTGTTTTTGTTTAGGAAATCAGCAGAGAAGATCCATGTAAGTGAAGTTCAACTCTGGAGCACATTTGTCTCATTTCATTAAATATGTTACTAGACCGTGGAGACTTTTAGCCTCACTACAGACGGAAGGTGGGAGAAACACTCTTCACTTGACTCAGTTATTCTGTCTTAGTGAGGCTTTTATATCATGGTCAGCACAATGAATGACTGATGTCCTTCCCTCTACGTTCCAGTGGAGATGATGTTGAGGTCAGTTCTGAATATTTTGGAGCAGAAATTAATAAGCTACAAACCCAACAGTAGGTTGGAAATGAGAGTCTTGTTTCACACCTGTTCTACAGAGTTTTGGCTGGAGAGGGTAGTTGGCTTCCTTTAGTGGCCCAGTCAGAAAATGATACATTTGTTTGGTTTGCCAGTGGTTCACACTCATCTAGCAGTGATTATGATTGAATCAGCAACTAATCGGACATAATAGATTTGAACTCAGCACTGTGGGAACATGCATACGTGCATTTATCTGCACATTGGTTGCACAAAAAGAGCAGTGAAACATACTGACTGTGGATTTGAGTCTGATTTTATGATCCTTCTCTTCCAACTAAACTTAACTTAAATAAAACCAAACAAGATTCTTTAAAAAAAGAAAATAAATCACCCGTCCAACATTTTCCTGACATTTAAATGATGTAAGTGTGTGCCCACTAAATTAGAGCAGATGAGGAGCAGATGCAGAACAACAGGGAGTTTGATCGAACGCATTACGGCAAACAATAAACATATATTGAAAACTTTAAAGAGATTCATATCAGGTGTTGATCTGGTCCACATTACTGTTGTGGTTCAGTGATGCAAAATGCTATCAAAGCAGCATTCAGTGAGAACTTTGGAACAGAGAACCAAACTGATTGTATCATTTTCTGCACTGACGTGAACCAAAACAAAAGACCTACACACTTCACTGCCAGGGATATTTGTCAGTTACTTACTAATACCACTAAGTAAAAAGTCAGGATAAATATGTTGTTGTTGGAGCTTGCTTCATTTAAGGCAGATTACAAAAAAAAAGTCGGTTTAATGCTGCACATCTGTTGTGTTTATCTCATCACTGGATTACTGCAATGATGTTTAGTTTGGAGAACATCAGGTTTGAGCAATGATGTTTAGTTTGGAGAACGTCAAGTTTGAACACGTTACGGTGTTTTTTTTTTTTTTTTAAAGAGCACAATTCTTTCCCGGGAGCAGCAGGATTGATTTTTAGTTTTGCGGTGAGTTGATGGTTTGGCTCCGACTCTTGTTGAGGGGGAAGGAAATTACCAAGTTTATGTGACCTAAACCCTGAACCAAGCTTCCTTTTCCCTTCAAACAGGTCCCCTTACTTCCTCTTACGCCACAGAAACATTTTATTAATCACTAACACAATGCGATGTTGCATTTTTGCACAAACTTTCTGCACTTTCTGTTCATTACCAAAACTTGTCAATAAAATAAAAGCACAAAGCGTAACAATAAGTCAATCGAACGACGATCGTTTGCTTCGACAGTAGCTGAACAGTACATCAGAATAAATGGCTCTTACAGTTTTCAAAACCAAATTCTTTTGCAAATGACACTGAATAGTATGGGTGTCATGTCGGTGTGAGGTCTGGCCTGGGGCTACAGTAACCTTTGTCAGTCTCTACCCTCTCTCCTCTGACCTTCAGTGAACGACCTCCTCGTCTGTAATCAGCTTTCATCAAGTCCACACACAACTGAGGTCAAGGCTGTTGCCCTCCAAACAGCTGTAGCGTTTGCTCCACTTGTACAACTGGAACGTGAGCCTGAATCACTGTTGGTGGTCACCGTCTCACCAACTCTCACTTTCCAGGGTTGACATGTCAGAGTGTTAGTTTCTACTGTATGTTTTGACACCATACGTCCATCGACATCCACTGTGCTGTGACAAGGGTGTTTATGGACCAGGTGTGAGCTGTTTAAACAACTGACATCATGACGTTAGCTAATTCCACTGCTGACAGGTCTTTGAGTGGGCAGGGGCAACTATGCCAGGTGATCAACCCAAATATTAGCTTTAGCAGGCGATGGCTGCCTCTTCGTCTTCCTGTGATTCTCTTTTGTTTTCTTAAAGGAAAGTTTGACATTCCTTATTTCAATTGGGTTTTTTTGTTTCCTCTAATGTAAAATGCTTCCGAAGTATTCCAGCCCAATGAGTGGAGCAGAAAAATAATTCTTTTGGCTTGCATGGACATTATTTCCTCTCTCGTCTCACACACTAACCCAATTATGTTTACCTTCCCAGAAGCTGACAGACTCACTGCAGGACAGGAATCAGCATTGTTTATATTCCAAATACAGTAGAGTATATATTCCCCCCTCCCTCTATCGGTAACTCTGTCTCTCTCTCTCTCGTTCTCTTTGCATGGCTGCAGCCTGTCCAGATTCTCCCATGAGCTCAATTTCCCCTTCCGTTCTGAACACTAGATAACGACCTGTCGACCTGGAAGTTAATTGGTTACACCCGTACAGTCACTGATGGAAGCGTTGGACTCAAAATGGTTCTGCTCGGTGCTGCAGCAGGAACTTAACAGTTTCACTGAATGGCAGCCAGATGTGAAGGTGAAAGCTTGAAAGTGAAACTGCACAAAGAATGGAGCATTAAAATGCCAAGTTTGCTAATCTTTTAGATACAACCTAAAAGTGACATACAACTGGAAAAACAGTGCAATTTAAATTTTGTTTTCTTAAAATAATGCAGTTAGATCCACGCTTTTTACATGTCTTGGGTGTTCTGGTGTAGTTAATGTCTAGAGGTGGAGCAATAACAAAGTTGTAATGACCAAACTCAGCCCAGCGGCAGCAGCAGAAGCCCATTGTTGTGGAAACACAATGAGATCCAGCCCAAAACCGCGTCATCGCTGATGTTTTCAATCTGTCCAATCAGAATGTAATCGTGAGTTCATGACTTGTTTTGTTTAAAAAAAAAAAAAAGTATGCCATAATTTAGTTTTGGTGAACATCATCATTCTCTGCTGTTTCCTGAACCAAAGGAAAAGAACTACTGGTGAGAACACGCCCATGAATGCCAGGTCTGAACATGGCCATGGAAGCGTCTGACTTTGGTGGAGCTGTTGCCGGCGGCCACAGTATTGAGGAGCTCCTCTGTTCACTTCTTAACAGCAGTCTTTTTAGTTTTTTGGTGGGTGTTTACCAAACCTTTGGGCTCTTGGTTGTGTAATGTTGGTCAAAAACCACAAGGGGTGTATAAAAAAAACCCACAAGTTGGACAAACATCTAAGATAGAAAAAACATCTGATATGAAAACATTTTTCCAAGAACCAAATCTACTCACCAGACTAGACTTTTGGACTTTCCTGCACAAAATGCCACCAAAGTCAGATCAGCTAACCATTAAATGAACGCAGCAAATATTATAAGATAATCCAGGTTTTGGAGTAGAAGAATGGGTTATCTTACTCCTGGCCAAGACTTCACAGACTTTAGGACATTTCTGATATTTGAAATTTCTTTTCTGTCTGGAAGTTGTAGACTCTGCCTGAAAATTGATTTTACAATCAGCATCGGACAAAACCTTAAAAACATGTGTGCTGCAGCAATATGCACACACACACAGAATGTTTTGATTTATTCCCTTTGCAGACATGCAATGATGCTGAAAAAAAAGAGAAAAGTTCTCTTTGATTAAAAACACACTGATTCCACAGTTTCCTTCATCAGCCGTACAGTGTTTCACCCACTCAAATTGCTGATCTGGCCTTGGAATAAAGCAACAAAGCCCAGAGGAAGTGTGACAGACAGCAATGTTGAACTCCTTCCACCTCTACTGTCCCATGACACTGGATTTATCAGCCAGCATCAGCTAGGTTACTCAGCAAATGTGCAGCAAAGTGTAGGAAAAATAACCTCTTTTTTCTTTTCCCCTCTCCCTCAGATTCTTCTGAAGTAGCCTGATTATTACCAGCATCCTTCAACTGTTGATCACATTTACTCAACTGTATGAGGTAAGAGCCGCGTCTGCTGCCGAAACACAGCAGCATCATATTTTCCAGCCATAAAGTCACAGGACTGTCAAAGTCGATTTAGGTATAATTGCTCACTTGAAGTAACTCCTTTCACATCTGTTAATGATGTGGTTCACGATGACACGGTCTTAATTATCTGAGGCGCTCTAAATAGTTTCTCTCACCCTTTTATGGCGACAAATTACTTTTGCAGTTTCTGGGTCTGGTGCAGAGAGCTGACATGAATAAAGTCGTTTCATTCCTTCTGATCATAAAGTTCAGGAGAATTCGTGTAGAAATCGCGTCCTACGTAATTTAAATTTACGCATAAGAAATGCACATCTCTCACTAAATACATTAGCTTCAAATGGAGAAAGATAAAAAAAAACCCAACTGCAGCAAAAAAAAAACAAAACAAAAAAACAGCGCAAACCGCGCACCTGCAGGAGAGCAGAAGTAGAAAGCACTTTTTTTTATTTTACCTGTCCATCCGCATCCCGGTGCGCAAAAAGTCACGAATAGCGCCAAAAGCGTCCTGCTTGCGGCTAAAGCCATAGTGATTATGATTGTGCGCCTCTGCAGCACAACGAGGCACCAGCTGAGCTGGATGCAGAGGGCTGGGACTGTGCAGCCCTGCCCTCCGAATTCTCTCTGCTGATGGGAGAACAGCTCTCAAGAGCGTGCAGATAGAAAAATGATTAAACCTCCTAATAACGACAGTTCAGAGCCACGCCAGTTGAATGTTAATTTCCCTGACTCACTAACTTAAATTTTTAGTATAGTTTAGCTAAATTGTCGAGTTAAAAAAATATATCGTCATAACTTGTCAGCTTCAAAATTACATTATTTAAATTTCTTTCGTTTTTTCTTTCTTTTTTTTTTTGCGGTTGCTTGAGAAACCAGTAGTTAATATTTTTCCAACCAATGTATTGTTATTTTTCCACGTCAGGTACTGCTTTGCCCCCCCTCTGGTTCTGACCCACCTGTGCCGTATTGTTCCGCGGACTCTGGTTCCAGACTTGAATAAACATTTCCATGACCGCATCGCTGCGCCAGGTGTCAGACATCAGGGCCGTGGACCAGGACTCCAACAAATGATCTAATACTGTATCTGGAGACAAAGTTCAACATTACATCCATTTTCCAAATTGACCACGGGGCCACTAGATGGCGCAGGTAACCAGGTTTTTTGAAGATAATCTAATGTTGCTGGCACACTGACGGTCAGTTGATAAAATACACCTGTTCAACCAATCACATGATAATGATAATCACATGGAAAACTGTTAATCTGCTTTAAACAGACTCTAAACAGAGGAAGGGAGTTTTTAAAGAACTTTAAGTAACTTCTGACTTGGCTTGTTTGATGGTACCAGATGGACTGGTCTGAGAAATTTCCAAAAACTGCAGATCAACTGGACTTGTCTTCACACTTCTGTCCCTGTGGGTCACGTGGAACAGTCCAGAGCCGAGGAAATATTCAGTATGTCTGGGTTCTTATGGGGATGAAGCTTGTTGAGGTCGGAGGAGAAACTCAGAATCTGGCATAAACAACATGAAAAGTGGATTGATTTTATCATGTGACCATGGTTTGGACCTGGAACGATGGTGTTCTCATGTTCTGGCTGATTTGAGACGCAATCCTGCCATGTCACAAAGCATTGTTTGTTTGTTTTTTCTCCAACATACAGTTCTTTAATTGTCCCTATAGCCATTAGACCTGAGTTTGAGTATTTTAGTGACGTTCAGCCAGTTACAAAGAATTACTTAAAATTGTCATGTCAATAACGGGCAAAATCTTTTAAAAAGTTTTGTCTAGATTTTCCTTAAGTTTAAGCAAGTATGACTAAAGCGGCCCTGAAGATAATGTCAACTCCAGCACATGATTTGAAAGATGTCCTTAATGAAATGGCGTTATTTGTGTCCACAGATGCAAGAGATTTCCATGTAGTTGCAGGTGCTTGTATTTTAGAGCAACACCTCCCTCTGTTGGAACCTTAGCTCACCTGCAGTGGGGAATAAAATCACTCAGTCGTCACGTGTTCACAACTGGAAGAAAAATGAGAAATAACTGAAACACAAACCCATCTCAATATCTCTATAGTGTTTCTTTTATCTTTGTATTTTAAGATATCAGGATATTTAAGATATCAAATTTGAAGTTTTTAAGAATGAAAAGAAAAACAGAAATATCTGACAAAGCGAGACTAATAGAATGTAACAAGCAATCTGATTGGCTGTCTACAGCATGTAAGACACAGTGGTAGAAATCACAAAAATAAAATGGCCGCTAGGGGGCATAACATGGCAGCAGTTTTTGGTTTTATATCGTCTCTGGCCTTAAAGCCTCAAAGTCCATAAAGTCAATACTGCTGCTGATTGTGTTTCTACCAACACCGCCGCAAACACACACACAGGCAGAGTGAAAATGCATAAGTCATCTTAAAGTGAAACATTAGAAACTAATAATCATCACATACGTCTATTTTGTTGGCTTTATTCAAACATATAGGGTCATTTTTAGGTTGAGTTTTCGTTCCACCAGTGTGTTTTTTTTTTATAAAGTGGTAGCAAGAGTAGAAAATATCCAACCACCTCCAGGTGACAAAAACAAAAACTCCAGGTTTAGAGACGATACACATGACGATGTCACCGGTGTCAGGCTGTGCTACCTGTGGTTAGACGGTGCACTGAAGCTCCAGTCTGAGCAGCTGCAGCGTCTCCTCTGACAGTCAGTGTCCATACAGACAGACACAGAGTCTAAATGTGTCACTGCTGGAACATAGTGGACCAGAGTAACAACAGAGTCCTGCTGCGGTCAGTACAACTGCAGTGTTCCTAGAAGAACATTGAATTATTCTCGTCGTTCTCTTTGAGGCATGTGTCTTATCACAGTCACCAAGCAGTGTGTGTGTGTGAGTTTTTTTGTCTCTGCAGTCTTAAATTAGGACAGTATGTTTTTATCAAGTCTGTTTTATATTTTTTTAAACCTTGTACTTAACTGTTAACGGTCTGCTGTGCCCGTGTGGGGAGTCTTTCTTCACCCTGGTGATCCAGGTGATCCAATCTGTCCATGGACCGGACACATGATGCTCATGTTTCCAAAGGTTGGGTCAGAAAAGGCCAGTTGTGACGGTGTGGATGACACACTGTGGAGGGAGCGACACAAACTATTGACAGACCAGGAAATGAAAAATAACCACTTGTTACTGACTCAATAACGACGACTTGGCAACCCAGCACTGGCTGATGTTCTGCTCAGAGCACTTTTGGCCAGAAACTAATTTCCTCCAACTGCAGCAGCATATATATCCCTGCCTGGAGCCGTTTGTCCTCCCTCTGAGTGTGTTGTAATTAAACTCACTGGACAACGTTTTGCTATAATTAGTTTTTACTGTGCACGTTTTTGATAATATTCTGATTTTACTGTGCAATATTTGCATTTTGTAGATTGTTTTTTGTAGAGTGTTTTTAGGCCAACCTCTATTATATACATTTTTTAAAATATTTCTTATATTTTTTTTCCTGCATATTCTTGACTCTTTGTTTTTTTTACGTAAGGTTATAATTGCACTGTAATGACTCACCTTTCTCACTCTTCCCGTCGACATCATTAACGTATTTCTGCAACACGTCTTTTAAACAGGTATTTAAAATCCTTATTCACATGAACATGGATTTAGAGGAAGTAAAGATGAAGGTTTTACTCCAATCTCCAAGCTGGAGTAAAAACAGGAACATCCTCCATCAGCTCCCAGTGGACGAAGCCCACCCCTCAACTCCACCCGCCCCTTCCTGCACACAGAGCAGAGTGAGACCCAGTGCCAGCTGAGAGATGCTCCACACTTGCAGCAGCGATCACGCACCACGGAGAAAATGTCCAAGTGCAGCCTGAGACTCTCTCTCCGCCAGTGCGTCGCTTCTGGAGAACAGGTGGAAAAGTCCCGTTCATGCTGACCGGGTGGAGAACCGTCATCGTGAGTGCAGCGAATCCACGCCGTAGAAGCTCACTCTGAATCCCACTGAGGAGCACGGATTCGTGCTGCAAGTTTCACCTCCGTGGAGTAGAATTCACTCTGCTCGCACCGTGGACCAATGATGGCTCTCACGGTTCATCTGAAGACGGTGGCTCACCTCAGGGGGAAAGGTGACCGGATCACCAAGGTTACGTTCAGAGGTAAGAGTTTCTGTGTTTTCCTGCGGTTTTTGCCTTTATAACGTTATAAGAGGTCAGTTTTGGAAGTGAACTGCTTTTATTTTTTTCTTATGGATAATGGAAGACCAGGTGAAGTGATCCTGGTGCGTAAAAAGTTGGAACCACCTGAGACTCGGTGCATGTTTAAAATAAATCAGGAAATAACCTTTATTATTGAAGTGTTGTAGATTCACACGCTGTTGTCATTGGCTTAAAAACTACGAAATGACTAAAGCACCAAAATCTGGTATCTGACAGGAATGATTCACATTTTTATTTTTTGAGGTTTTCAGCTAGTTTTGCATCACTCTGCTTTTGATTCCCCTTTCAAAGCCTGCTGCATCAAAGAAAATAAACCTAAGATTCTCTGTATTTTAGAGCAGTGGAATTTGAGTGATTCCTGACTTAAAATACGTAAATCTTTAAATTCTGTCACCATAGAAACGGCCATTCATATCCCAATTGCTTTACACTTGAGAAAGTTGTTAAAAAAATCTTAATTTGCCGGCATCTCTTTATAGAATATTATTAAATCATCAAAAGCGCAAGGACAAAACTCTGTCAATTTATAGTTGATTTTAAATGATAAACATGCTCAAAATCACGTTACAAGTAAAATGCAACACCTGCCAATTGGAGATCACTGTTAGTGGCATTTTCTGTTCTTACTTAAAAACAGTATCAAACTGCATTCTCACTCCAGTTTTTCCATTTTATATCAAGTTTTGGTAAAAAAAAATTCTGCTATTACATTTGAAAAATAGCGAGTAAAGTATATCGTTGATAATTGAACTAAAATTAAAGTAGTTTTCTAGAATGAAGCTCAGTAAAGAGCCTAACTTTTCTGTTCAAACTGTGATGCCTTAAGAAGCAACAGGACAAAATGTACATGTACATCTGTTAAGTTAGCAAAAAACAACCCTTTTTAACAATCCTGAGTGAAATAAATGAAACATTAGTTTATCTAACCCCCCCCCATATCCTCTTGGGTGCTCCCGTCTCATACAATATGGATATTTTTTACTTATACCGCGGGGGATACACAGTAGAAAGCAATAAAGCCTTTATACATAAGGAAATGATCACTGCAGCTATTACCTTCTTGAGAGAAATGCTTCTCTCCAGAGGATAGAACCCAGGAATACCAACACTAAAGTGATTTCTCATTATCAATGTGCTTGACATTTCCAGCCGAGTGTGTTTACATTTTTACTCATAGAGCAATAAGGGCAGAAGGCCAATGGGTTACAACCGCTACGGCTGATGGAATCGATTACTTGGGAGATCGTCAGTGGTGGGAGAGGATGGATGAGGCAGTCTTTGTTTTGTTTTGTTTTTTTCCCCGGAGGGCGCATGACTTCAGTTCTCTGGCTGTTTTATTGCCTTTTACTACACGTGGTGATTATCACAGCCTCTGTTCTAAAAAAGAGAGATGGAAGGAAATGTGTGCGCATGTGTTTCAGCACCTTGGACAGCGATGTGGCAGGTGTTCAGTCCATTCCTCCCAGCTCATCTCCTGCTGTCAGGATGTTAACAGACTGTTACCCTCTTTTTTTTTTTTTTTATTCCACCATTGTTCTGACTCTTTCTGCTTCTCCTCGTGCTGCAGTGAACCTGACCAGGCTCCTGGTCTTGAACAAACATCCATTATGACAATCCCAATGTCTTCATTGAAAATTCTAGGTCTACTTTCATTCAAAAAAAAAAAATCTCAGCTCATCCAAATTCTCCCACCGATTAAAGATATTACGGACGATTATAATTATTTGTAATAATTGAAGTAGGTGGAGGTCAACCTCTCCTTCACCCTTATGTTTGAAACCTGCCGCTTCCTGCTGCCAGAGTTTCCTGGATGTATTTAAACAACTCCCTTTCTGTAGAGAGGAAGTACTGCCATGGACCCCCGCTCCCGTCATCCCTTTCACAACATTGTCGTTTCAAAACTCGCTGGAAAGACGGGCGGATGTTGTGTAGCCACTCATTAGGGTCCGACAGGAACTGAGACTCAACGCTGTTTAAAAGTGACTGAGTTAAATGACTGATGTTTTTGGAGGAAGTAAAAGTCATTACGACATGAAGTAACTGACTGTATTCAGGATTTCAGATAAAAGCAGAGTTCTCTCTCTGGTCAGACCAGTCCATTATTATCTAAGACCACAGAAGTGGATAAATGTGAGTCATCCCCAAAGAAATGTCGTGAAAACATTGACTTTGTGTCAGGTCTCTGATGAATCCTCTCTGTTATCAGAAACACACTTCAGATCCTGGATGTTCAGAGATAATGGGCCTGTGCACTGCAGCGTGAAGGATCAAAAACTCAGAGATAATGGGCCTGTGCACTGCAGTGTGACGGCTCAAAAACAAGTTTAAATATATATATAAAAGGGCTAACTCGTTACAAAAATAATGAAGGCATTGTTTCTAGGGCAGTGTCTATTGACAGATTTTCAAAGATTTTCCCAAATATGCAATAAATAAATAAGTTTGTCTGGTGTTTAATAGGCACGACGTGTCATATAAGACTAAAAACAAACATTAAATAAATTATAAATATTTTAAGGGATACTGTATCAAGAATGACGAAAAACCCATCAAGACTAGTTAACAAAAAATGTTTTTATCATGAACTAGATGGATTACAAAACTGCTTATGTCCTTTATACCAGGAGTATTTGCTGTAAAAACATGTACTTATTAAAACATTGCTTTTTAGCATCCTTAGTATTGAAACAACTAAAAAGTTTCAGGTCAGTGAAATCAATAATAGTCTTTTCTTTCTTCTGTGTTGTTATTATATAAGTACGACGTGACCAAACTTTTCTGGTGACGGGCCTTTGTACATATTTAGTTGCAGCTCATTAAATCATCTCTATTTTCACCCAACTTTTTCTTTTCCTTTTTCTCTTTGTATTAGTGTTTCCTCACAGGTTGTTTATTCGTCATCTTTTTAACGCTGCGGTAAATTACCATAGAGCTTTGTTTGTGAAATGCACTGCATCCTGCACACATCATTTCAACGCCTCTCTTCCCCTGGAGCTGTCCTTTGGGGTGGGGGTCTCTCTCTGCTGGAGGAGACCCCCACTGTAGATCAGGTTACAACTGCACTTCTCTCTCCAGATATAACCCATTTAATATTCGACGCCAGGATTGGTTTGGAAATTAAATCCCAGCATGGAAGAAGGAGAATTAAATGCTGAGAGAGGAGAAGTCAGACTAACAGTGGAGCTCCTTTTATGATGTGGCACAGTTTTCTCTGTTCATTGTTTCCTTCTTTCGAAGCCTGAGGTGAAAAAAACCCCATCCTTGTTCTCTGTGTTACAGCTACAGAGTTCTTCACTGCGTCGCTGTCATTGATGACTCAAACCTCTGCCCTGCTTTGCTCCTTTTGTTTTTCTTTCCCACTTTGCGTTAGTTAGTTTGTCAAATATTGCCTTCTTGTTTCTTCCTACGTTCCTCTGACTGCGCCAAGGACACGAGCTTGTCTGAAAAACAGACAAGCTCAGTTAGGTTCTGGTTCAAAGCATCTTACATAAGGTTTTCTAGTCCACACTTTAAAACCCACATCTCCATTCAGAGCGAAGCACAGCTCTGACTGTTGTTTTGAATAATGTAGAGGAAAAGTCTCTGTTTGTCTCTGTGACAACCAGTGGTTTTTAATGTTGAATTGTGGCTGTTAATCAGGTTGCCAGATTCTGCAAAATTTTGGAATGACATTTCTTGGCTAACCTGAAGTTATCTGTAAGAAAAATGATAAGCAATATTTTCAGCTAGCATTTAGCTATTCCCAGGCGAACTTGTGGTATAGTAGAAAAAGCTGAAGGTACGTAGGCGTTTGTGATCCTGTGTTCATTATACACTATGACAAACTTCAGCTCATTCTTTTTAAATGTTTTATTTAAAATAATGAATATGAATTTTGCATTACTTTCCACTGATTTGTTTACTTTGTTATATTTAATCTAGTGTAGTCCTATGGCTCATGTATTTTTTGTTTATTTTAGCTGTTTCTGGGTTTCATTGGGTTTATCATTAAGCTACATTAAACCCTTTATTTGGGCTGTGTTTTACATTATTTGCTTTTTAACAACTATTCTAATCCTTTGTCTCATGCTCTCTGTGAACACCAGGCTTGTTCTCTCTTTGAATGTGAGATGAGCTGCTTTCAGCAAAGATAATGACACGATTGCGCCGGGAACTGGACTTTGCTGGACGATCTGTTCAACGCTATTATTATTACTATGGCCGTGCCTGACAGGGCTGTAATTAACTTAGTAATTAACCTGTAGGTTCTTTTGTTCATGCAAGTTTACCTGTGTAAAAGTGTGTGAGCACATGTCAGCTGTCTGCAAACACAAAAGCCTGGGACGCACAGAGCAAATGCTCACAGCAGCTCGGCACCATTCATGAGCTGCACAAAGCCAACAGGTGAACTGAGGCTGCCACATCACCTGCAAGTACGCCTGGGTGAACTGGACTACTGGGCCACACCCTTATGTTTGACCACAGCAAACACCGCACAGACCCAGTGAGTTGACTGTATAGGCAGATGTTTGGTGAATTGATTTAAGGAGGTTTTCATCCTGTGGCTGAATTAGCTGCCGTTTCTCTGTTAGTTCTTTTTGACCTGGTCACACGCTGAGTCACCGCCCGACTCCACACTCTTCCTCTCATTGTCTTATTTGTGTGGTTTTCAGTCATTAAAGTCATTTATTTGTGTTTTGTCTTGTCCTGTGGCAAAGGTGAAAATGGATTTGGGTTTAATCTTGGTCAGTGTTCTCTTGGAGTTTTTTATACTAATTATACTTGGGTCTGACAGTGGTGGATTGTTCACCGTCTTTGGTGAAGTGCAGCTGATGAATCCTGTCTGCTTTATAACAAAGCACTTTAACATGTGCAATTGAAGTGTGATCAGTCCAAACAGAGATAACAAATGTCTGGTTTGGCACTATCACAGAGTTTATGGGCCCTGAAGAATGTTTTCATTTAATTGAATTTGTTAACTTTTGTAGATTAGAGGATTCTGTTTGTTGTTGGCTTTTCTTTAAAGTATACTTTCAATTATGTTAATTTCAGCCAATAATGACGCTATCAAAGCTACTTATTAGTTATACTTTACTAATATTTATTTATTTTTTAAGTAATAGTTGATTAAACTTTATTTATTTTGAAACCTTTTCTGGTTACTTTTTTTTTTACAAATTGCTAAACCTTTTCTTCTATTATTGGTTTAAGACTATAAACTATTTAGATTAAGTTTTACTAATTCATAGCTAAATTTAAGGGACTTTTATTTATATTTTCGGTTTTATCTGCATTATAATTATATTTTGTTTTGTTTATTCAGCTGTTAACATTATTACATTCTGTTATTTTTTGTTTATTTAGCTGTTAACATTATTACTTATTGTTAACAGCTCAACAATAAGGCTCAGTGCAGCCAAAGCCAGTGTAGTGTAGATAAAATCTACTCATAACATTTCTTTTTATCTTCCAGGTTTGTCATTCTACAGCCGGGTGGCAGAGAACTGTGAGGATGTGGCCCACTTTAATGAGGTTGGTGTCTTCTCTATTGTTTATACGGTCTATTGAAAAAAGTCAGCAGTTATCTATAAATTTAATACAAACCACAACGTTCTTGCTCTAATTACAACACAGTGGCGTCGGTAGCCGCAGGTTTGAGCTGCGACTCTAAAAGGGAAACACCATGTTAACATGGAGGGATGAATGAACTTGATGCAGTCACTCAACCTTAATGTAGAGAGACAGTTTCAGAGGCCCAGCCATCCAGGGACCAAGTCTTACTGCTGAACATCTCCTCCTTTAAAAAGTCACATGGTTCTCAAGTGAAAATGGTCGATGACCTGACAGTTGACCGCTAGTGTCCGAGTGCTGTTCACACAATTTCCATCAGGCTGTGTGAAAGGTGAGGTGAAGGGAGTTAGTCAAGCGTGACCTGTGTGTTCTGATTAAAGCAGACACTCAGGCACTTTCTCTTTTTCACTTCACCTGCTGAAGTGAAAAAGAGCTGATTTTTAATCAACATCTGACAAACATGACCTTTTTTACCTCATTAAAACAAAATCTGGCCCGCAATGTAATTATCTATGATCCACAAGATCATATCAATTGTGTACCAGAGTTGGTCTACCAGTATATAACCCTTATATACTGGTAGGATTTGTAGTATTACCAGTGTATGTGCCTTATTATAGTGCGTACTACTGGTAGGATTTGTAGTATTACCAGTTTATGTGCCTTATTATAGTGCATACATTTTGTTTTTGTTTTTTTTGTTGTTGGCCTGTGACTAAAAGTTTTATATTAAAAAAGATGTTGAAAGGCTAGAGATAAAGAGACATAATAAGAGACAAAAACGTTTTTTTAATTTCAAATTGAAATTCTCATGTCTTTAAGACTAAAGGTTGTTTCCAACGTGCACAAATGCCATTCATTTTACCTAAAAGTATTAAGTTACTCCCTCTGTGGATTTGAGTTTGACACCTCTGTTCTAGAAGATAATGTGTGCCTCTCCTCGTTTTACACAACAGGGAAGTTGCTGATAAAGTTCACATGTGAAACAGTTTCCTTTACTTTTCCTCTCAGTTCCCCACAGACCAGCCAGATCTCTGCTTTTTCTTATCGCAGCAGTAAGATTTAAAGCAGATCTGAGTAACGTGGAAATTGTTTTTACCTTTAGGAATCCTTAAGGTAATATTCCATCTCTGTGCACAAAGACAAATGACTTGATCTTTGACTCTCACATCAGTTGTGCTTGTGTTTGTGTAATTTGCCTCAGAGCCGTATCCCTTCCTTGAGCACATTCCAGTTGTACGACATGACTGGCTGCAGCTTCATATACGATTCTTCTGATCAATATTTCATCATCTCTGTCTCACTGTCAAACTTCACAGCCTCCCTGGGGTTTACAGGAAACTAGTAACTGGTATGAATCCCATTCATGTTGTGATGTGAGGAGAAGATGGTGCTGAGATATGGAAAATGCCAGGATCAGGGTAAATCCTATAACGATAAAACATAGAGCCTTCCAAGAGATATCACCAGAAATGGTTTTTTTTTCCTAATGTGTATAATATAATAATGTACTGTATATTTCAGGCAACTCAGTTTTACAAATATTATTTTGCCTTAAAATTAACCAGAATGCCAAAGAGGAACTGAAGTAACCCAGTGGTAAAAGTTTCATCTAAGTGTTTTTAACCTAATGAAAATCTATTTTACCACATAAAACCTCACCAAGGGACTGTAGTCATTCACTCAATCCCTTAAAACCAATTCACCACTTGGCTTTTAAACTGCTTTTATTTCAACAAAATTTAAACAAAAATATATATTTAATTTCACATTATGTTCTTAAACTATTCACAGTTGAGTATCAGTTGGTCTGATATCGGTTGGAAAATTTAAACAAAAATATATATTTAATTATTTCTTTCTTCTTAAATATTTCTTTTTTTTTTTTACAGTTATATTATGTCGTTAATTCTCTGTCAGGTTATAAAGAAGTTCCTAGAACCTTTAGCAGCTTTACATATTTTCTGTCCTGTTAATAAGGAGTCACAGACCTGACTGTTATTTTAAGAGTAGCACAGACTCCAGTTGAGTCCCTGTGGTGTTGGCACTGATGGTCCTACAGACGCTCCTGTCTGTGGCTGCAGTGGGAATATTCCCTGTCTTACTACAAAACCTGCATTCTGATTCATTCATATGTGAAAAAGGTTTGGGGGATCAAGGGACGAACCTCAGAAAGCAGAAGAAAGGACTGATTAAATACAGGGAACGTAAAGAAATAAAAAAAAAAGTACCCTGGGGAATTTTCTTTTACTTCCTTTCCTCTCAGCTTCTTGTTTTTGTACAGACACAGAGAGAGAGAGAGAGAGCGCTGCTTCCTTTCACGATAACAAGACCTTTGTTTTTGGTGTAATTAGGAAATTCACTAAGTGCCTGTGCAGGTTCGGCTAATTTTATAGTCATGAGAGAAAAACACACACTTCAGCAGATCAGTAGGGAAGGATTGTGTGGGGAAAAAAACACAGGTTTGACTAAATTTCAGAAGTGTGCGATAACTTTGTACCAAGTGTCTAAATTATTAGTCATGTTTGTATTTACCGCCTCATTTCAGCCCTCGGGCTTTGACTACTGTACAGTCACTGTTCCGTTCACTAATGTGATCTCCTGTGACAGCGTCACTCGTTGCTCGTCTACAGCCGAACTGAGGTTGTTAGCATCACTCGGAATTAGTAATGTGTCCAGCCTTCTCCCGAGGATGACTTGTGCCTCTGGTACTTCTCTGTGATACTGTTTTTACACTCTGTGTGTGTGTGTGTGTGTGTGTTCTCAGTGAATCTGACTCCTTCATTGAACCTGCACGGCTCACTGAGCTCAGTCCAGCCCCTGGTTTGGGGGAGGGGTCCATTAGCATAGACTCGAGTGTCTTGTCTGGTTTTGCGTGGTGTAGCAGGGCGTCTTTGAACTACAGTGTGTGGGTATGGACTGGATGGAGAATTTATATTCATTATTCAGTGTGTGGTGCAACTTTGCTTTTAGCTGCAGTCCCCCAGCCTCACCCCCAGCCTCACCCCCACTCCCGGACATATCTGGGACAGAAAAGTGTAAGCCTTAAAGAAACAAGGTTCCAGGCCTGCACATGGACCCCTACATACATATATAATGGCAGATATGGATAAATGTGTGTGTGTGTTCTTGTAGTTGTGTGTGGGAAGAGGATCCATAATGGATAACATGCAGTTTCCACTCATAGAATAATGTCTACTGTAGTGTTTTACTGTCAGGTTTCATCTAAATTGGATCCAAAAGTATAAATCAGACATTCTTCTATTTACAAAGACCAAAAACTTAAGCAAACTAAACTAAAGTTTAGGCCTAAGCATACTTTAAGAAAGCAACATTTTAAAAAGTAATTAATTGTCTGACTTTGAAGCAGTTGATCTTCCTGCTCTTCACGCCGCTGTGAAGCTTCACTTACGTAGTGATGTTTTCCTGTTTACGCTGTGACAATTTTTGTGGCCGGTTGGTTTACAGTGAGAGTGGGTTCACACAGCTTTATGAATAATCATGGTATTTATGAGGGGAGACATTAAGGTGCTGGATTAGTGTTTCCATTCTCACTGCTATTTGCTGTTAACAATAGAAACCATGTGCTGTGACTGTAAATATGGCCATAAAAGTCAATTAAGGAGACTATAGTGACAACAAGCAGTTGTGGTATGGTAAATACATCTGTTTGTCGCTTCACAACTGAAGCGACAAACACATGTATATATATACATGTGTATATATATATATATACATATATATACATATATATACATATACATATATATATGTATACTGTATATATATGTATATATATATATGATGCACATGATACCACTTTTTACCAGTGTAAAAAGCAGACATATGTGGATGAAAAAGTCAAATTGTCAGATGAATATCCATGTTCCAGACCGACTCCCTAATCACATTAAAGCTGCCTGTTCAATAACCACTGACAGTTTGACAGCGTCATCCAGTCAGAAACCAGCTTCAGCATTAATAATAAAACTCTAATAAACTTTAATATTCAGGGCTTTACCGGGAGATTAACTCAGCACTGAGTGAATAAAATAGGAACAGAGCTATATATATCTATCTTTATAACTCATGGAGTAAGTGCACAGACACGGGCAGTATACTACCTGCAAGTATTTCACCGTGGAGGACTAATCAAGGCAGAACTTGTTGAAAATGTAGTATTATTGTGTTGTTATGAATCTGTGTAGAAAACTAGAAACTTGTGCCCATTTTTCTTTGGCCTCCACTGTGTGTGCCCGTGTGTAACAGCTCGGAACTGCTCGTCTTCCAGGAGTCTCTCAGGCTGATGCACACCGTCACAGGGAACACTAGTGCACAGAGGAGAGAAAATGAATCCAGTAATTTACGGTCAGAGAGACTTAATTAGAACACGTCTAGTTCTGGTGAATGAACGGAATGTAAAATAAAAAAAAGAGAAAAAGTGATGAAGCTACATTAAAGCCAAGGGAGTTTTGGAATAATAAAATAAAATAAAAAGAAGCAAGATGGAGGATGTGTCAGAGCATCATGTGAATAATAATAACGCTGTACGAGCATGGAGCAGTGCCATTCCCTCTGTGTTGTTCCATGGATTTTAGTTGAATTTTCTCCATCTTAATAAGGTTATTCCTCTCAGCAGAAAACCCAGTGGGCAGGAATTTAGTGTGAATTAGAATAACTGACCTTTGTGACCTGCACACTTTCTAATAAGAGTTAGGAAACCATCACTTTTCCTTGAGTTAGGCAAAAAAAAAAAGACGGAAAAAAAGGTGACTACTACTACTGTAGGCCAAGTGCAGTCTTCATTATCTCTGCACCATCTGCTCCACCACAGCAGGCACCAGAGGATAATTGTTCTTTTATTATAATCCACCTTGAAACAAAGTCAGATGTTGGTAAATGAGTAGATAAATATCTGTTGACAACATACAGAGAGAGAATGTGACTACAGTTAATTATAC